AGGTCTCTCTTAGTTCTCTCTCTTAGGTCTCTCTCTTAGGTCTCTCTCTTAGGTCTCACTCTTAGGTCTCACTCTTAGGTCTCTCTTTCTTAGGTCTCTCTTAGTTCTCTCTCTTAGTTCTCTCTCTTAGGTCTCTCTCTTAGGTCTCTCTCTTAGGTCTCACTCTTAGGTCTCTCTTTCTTAGGTCTCTCTTAGGTCTCACTCTTAGGTTTCTCTCTTAGGTCTCTCTTATAGGTCTCTCTCTCTCTCTCTCTCAGATCTCATATTAGTCCTGGTTTAGTCCTTCTGGTCCAGTCACGAATCGCGTACCCCCACTTAAAAAACAACAACACTACACCACTGTTGATTATAACATGTCTTATAGCTCACTAGAGTCACTTTTCTGTTATATATGACTTTTGAAATGGAGCTGGAGGACAGGTCAATTTTACACCATGGCAGAATTTGTTGTTTAACTGTCAGATTGCAGATTTGTTGACCCGATTTATGGTTCATATCTTTGTAATTACTGGACCTATCCACATGAAACAAAACCTGACACAAAGTTCAACATCTTCTCTGTCAGTATAAATAAACAAAAGGGAAATTATGTGTTCACAATGGCTTCAGAAAGTCATTATTCCTTCCCAATGACGTGATTGTTGTCAGTTGAAACGACTGTGAGACATAAGATTAAAGGCCCTGTACCCATTTTTATTCCATGTATTGCAAAACGTCTTGCCCCAGTGCTGAAATATTTTATAAGCAGTTTGTGAGGTCAAAATATGTCACGTGTCCTGTCTGCGTCTACTTATAAAGTGTTTTATTGTCTGATAATCAGGAAGTACATGTCATGCATGGTAGTTGTTAGCTTTACTGTCACGGCAAAACTTCAAAACTTCTGGTCTCTGAATGTTGTGAAAAGTACTTAAACTCATCACAAAGAATAATTAGGATGATAGGAATGCATAAGGTAAGTGAGGAATAACTTTGGAGCACTGGTTTGTTTTTTCACGTTTAAAGGGCCCATCTCATGCACAATCAACTTTTCAGAGCTTTCTACCTTCTAAGCCTGAAGTGACCCAAATCAAATTTTTTGGCTTCTATGTGACCTGTATCCGGTCTTTTAATGACAGTCTGAACGACACAGATCCGATTTTTTCAAATGCGACCCAGGCCACTTGGATATGTGGTCCTGAAACCGATACATATCTGATCTTTTGACTTCAGTCTGAACGGCCAAAGCGCATTCATTCGACCTACACGTTATCAACAAGCCACAAATTATTCTGCGCTGAAGTAGGCGAAAATTGTTAATGAACTCTGTGTCACTGAAGCGAAGCACATCACCACTCACCACTCTTGGCTACGTCTCCACATCCACACGTTCCTTTCAATGGACGTTGCTGAAGCTGTCCCACCATGGCCAAAAACCTCGTCCTTCTCCTTCTCAGTCTCCTCCTTAGAACAAGTAAGTTGTTCATGTTCTGGCTCTGGTACGAGAGGAACTTTAAAATCTCCTCCATGTTTGGACAACTTCTGTAAACACAGAGCACGCTTGCTGCGGTTGACATCATCGTGTCCTCCAGTGCTCATGCGGGACACTTTTGGGTCATTTACTGTTCACACTGGAGTCACATACGAGTCGCATTTAATTGGAAATGTGAACGACCTCACAAAAACATCGGATTTCACAAAAAAATCGTAATTGAGCGTTAAGCCCTGCTGTCTGAACGTAGCGATGTGTGGGCCTTGTATATGTAGCCGAAGTGTTTTTTAGATTGATTTGGCTTTTCTTTAACAAATTGCAGCGTATTTCTGCCACCCTCCCAAGTGACAACGAACTAAAGCCTGCTACAACAATGACACGGCAGCTTCACCTACGCGTTTGACATAGCAGAAAACACTTAGCTTCATAACTATTGTGTAATGGATGATCCAAAACCCAAATTGTGCTTGTATATGTGCATAAGATACAATGTGAAAAGAGTTATTTTGCATGAGATGGGCCCTTTAATGACCAGATACAGCACCTTTTTCATATGGCAAGTTTTTAGAGCCAACAAATAAAAATAAAGTCCAACATTTTTGGATATTAAGCTTGTATATTTCTTTCAAAAACTGAGTTATATAGACCTCTTCATCTGAAATTATGACAAATTCTAGAGAGAGAACACAGCCTCATTGGCGGCGGTTCTTTGTAGAAACGTGAGCTGAAAGGTGAGCTGTCCGTCAGAGCACCTGTCTCCGCTCTGTCCTCGCTCCCCCGGCTCTCGGCTGTATGCAAATGAGGCGTCAATATTACACCACAGCCATGGTTCAGTTAACAGTACGGGGTTAAAAAAGGGGGAGGACATTTGACTATTCAAGGTACATTGTGTAACTTCTCTGGTGGGTTTGTCATTAACAATACTGTACAAATAGAACAGTTTTGAGGGTAAATACTGCGTTAGAGTTATTGTGTTGTATTGCGTTATTGTGTTAGTAATGACATTTAATATTATCCTTTATTGTGTTTTCTTCAGCAATATATCGTACTTCAAAATTTGTTATTGTGCCAGCTCAGTTGTGGTAGTAAGCTCTGTTGAGATCCACTGACCCATGGATTGGCAGTGTGATTCCAGCTCCCACAGATGAATGCTGTTGTTGTGTCCTTGGGCAAGACACTTAACCCACCTCGCCCCCAGTGTCTGCGTATACCGGTGTGTGAATGTGTGTGTGAATGGGTGAGTGGTTTCTTGATGTGAAGCGCTTTGAGTGCCGAGAGGGTGGAAAACTATAAAAATGTGACCATTTATCAGAGGTGGGACCAAGTCATCATTTTGCAAGTCTCAAGTAAGTCTCAAGTCTTTGACCTCAAGTCCGAGTCAAGTCCCATGTCAAATACGGGCAAGTCCAAGTCGAGTCTTGAGTCACTGGTCCATAAGTCCAAATTGTCTGTTTTGAACTTCAAGTCATTTCAAGTCTTTTAAACCAATGTAGCTTAGATTTTTGTAATTTATATGAATTTTAAACTAAATTGTACTTAAAAAGACATTGTATTTATATATGAGAAATTATATGGTAGAAATGTTTTGTTTTTTTTCCTTTTTAAATGTCTTGACAAGATCTTACTGCAAATTGTTATGGTCAGAACAGAAAGAATTTAGCAGAAGATTTAAAAGTGCCTTAAAAGTGCTTAAACTCTTATTTTGTCATGTAGTTCTATGTAGTTCCCTCTGTTTTACTGTATTGTACTGTGTATTACTGTATTGTACTGTATATTACTGAATAATACTGTAGTACATTTGAGGATACCACATCACAGTACTTCAGTTACATCCATCGTAACAGAGAAGTGGGGGCGACATGTTCCAGTTTGTTCCTTTAAAATCCAGCACTTTATTTAGCAACTGTAAAGAGAAAAGTATTTGCTTAAAACATATATTTTTAGCAGAAGCATCAAGTCTTCTCAAGTCACAGGCTTCAAGTCCAAGTCAAGTCCCAAGTCTTAGTCCATTTTATCAAGTCAAGTCTCAAGTCCTAAAAATAGTGACTCAAGTCTTAGTCATGGCTTGGAAGCCCCACCTTTGCCATTTACCAATTAAAAAGTGTTTTTGTTATGGGGTTAGGGATTTTAAATCATACCATAGCTGCTGTATAGTAAAGAGCCACTGGACTCACCTCTTTCTTTTGTGAATGGATTTTGCTTAACAGTCATATCTTTTTTTTTAATATATATAATACCAATAATAACATAACATAACATGATAAACTTCATCAGTACATTTTTCTGAATAGACCTGCTCATAATGATACGTAGTATAGAATATGATCCAGTCTGTTTCATTTTGTCTGTTGTTAAGCCCAGACCGCAGTGTAGTATTCCCACTCTTTTGGCTGGTCTCTTTTGGCATTCCAGTCATTCCCCTGGTACCTGGGAACTGCTGTCTGCGTCTCTGAGATATTTTTAGGTTTGGGAAGCAGCTGCCCGTCAACCTCTCCATCTGAGACTGAGGACTCTGCTCTTTGTTTAACCACAGGGAGTGTATCTCACACCTCTGTTTTATCACATTTAAAAGATAATTGTGAAGTAAATACATGATCCCTACCCACATCCTGGCCTTAACCTTGACCACAGCTTCACAAACTTGATTTCAGTACTAAGGAATAGACTTGATTCTCAGTACAGAGTCTGATATCACTCTTTATTTAGACAATAGAATATGATTTTCAACATGAAATCATAGTACTTTCTTTTATCTGTGTAATCCCTCAGTGCTCCAGGTAGGTTCCATAGTGGTCCTTTGGCGTATACTAGTCTCTGTGCTCTTGTACTTGTTCTGATACAGCTCAAGATCATTCTGGAAAGGTTCATTTCTGTCCTGTGAAAGTGACTTTTTTCGATACCTGCTTAAATTAATATCTTATTTCGATACTTCTTTTAGTATTAATTAGTATCTTTTTAATATCTCTTCAATAATTTTGATAACCCTACATTAGACTAAATCTAAAAAGTGAAAGTAAAAAGTAAATTCTTAAAAGTAAGCAGGAAAACTTCATTCTGTAGACAACATTGTAGCAATGACTATGTTTACATGCACACCAAAAATCTGATCACTATCTGATTTCTGAAATGTATTGAAATTTCATGTAAACAACAACTGATGTGAGTAATCTGATTTTTCTTTGATTTCTTTCTGATTGTTCACGCCTACAGATTTTGACAAGAAAAAATATGTAACAATGGCAAACTACTGTGGCAAAGGAAAGAGAAACTGTTAAAGACCGAAAGTGTTATTATTTTTAAATCATTGTACTTTGTCATCCAAACACAACAGTTTGCATGCTGACACAATCACCAGGTATTTCTGACAATCGTATTTCTCTTGCCTAAACACAGGCCAAAAACAGATCTAACTATTGGGTAATGTGATTATTCTAGTTATCTGATTTTGACTGGTCATGTAAATGCACTCACTGATTTATATTGCTTTTTCACATTTGCACTAATATTATATTTTCATTTTTGCATTTGACAGGGGGAGAAAAATGCAGGTTTCGATGTTCTCTACCACAACATGAAGCATGGCCAGCTGGCAGCCAAAGAGCTCGCAGAGTTTGTCCGCGAGAGGTGAGTTCGTTTCATGAGACGGAGGAGGAGGAGGAGGGAGGGAGGGGGGGGGAAGGGAGGAGGGAGCAGGAGGAGGAGGGAGCAAGAGTAGGAGGTGGAGGGAGCAGGAGGAGGGAGGAGGAGGAGGGAGCAGGAGGAAGCAGGAGGAATAATGGGAGGAGGAGGAGGGGGGAGCAGGAGGAATACTGGGAGGAGGAGGAGAAAGAAGAAGAGTGGGAGAAGGAGGAAGAGAAAGAAGAGTGGGAGAAAGAGGAAGAGAAAGAAGAGTGGGAGAAGGAAGAGGAGGAGGGTGGAGGAGGAAGGAGAAGGGAAGATGAGGAGAAAGAAGAAGGGAAGAAGAAGAGGAAGAGGAAGAGAAAGGAGGACGAGGAAAAAGGAGGAGGAGGTGCTGCTGATGGAACAGAACAAGCTCCAATGTGCCAAGTGTTCACAGGATTTCTGTGAGAACATATTCAGAGTATATGTTTGTAATTAATAGTTGCAGTACCAGTTTACTTACTGTTAACAAGAGAATATTTGAAATACTGTTTCATCTGAAGTTTTAAGACTTGAAATTCAGTATGTCTTCCCACTATCTTGTGCTCACAAACTAACTGCAAATGGCACATGAACAAGCCTAAAGCTTGGTAGGTTTATCCAGTGCGAGTGCAGACAACTGGGAGAGGCATGTTTGAGACTCAGTGGGTTGAAGCTCATGTGTGATTATTTTTACAGCACCCTGTCATGTGCACTGATGTTACTCATATGAAGAAAAAAAAGTTAATTAACTCTGCTCCAAAAATGTCCAGAAGATGGCGGATCTGCTTTTTCCTTAAATAGAAAAGGCTGTGGACAAAGACAGACCTTTTGCAGCCTCTCGTCTCCTGTTTTCCTCACTGCTCCACGCTGCTGTTTAATCTAAACTTGACAGAGGATCAAAGCAGGACTCATGAGCACAACCTCACTATATTTCCCACCACTGAGGGTGATCTCCTTTAGGGCTGCACCATATATCACAACTGAATAGAAATTTCAATTTGAGTTGGCGTAATTATTAAATCGCAAAGGCTGCAACTATTCTGGAAGTAAATTTCTCGATCATTTTTCCCATAGACTTTCTGAACAAAAATCTTTCTATTAAAAGTTTGAAAGCTTGCTCAGGGCTAATCAGCTCTGTGGTAACTAATAACCACAGACCTGCACTGCGGAATATTTCTAAGGGAGGGTCCACCACCTGTTTGTCTCCATGAAGATGTTATTGCTTTGTTTAAAATGTTCCACAGTATAGATTAAAAGTCTATCACCAGGGAGACAAGCAGGTTACTACTCTACATTACAATTCAAAACTGTGGAGAAGCTCCTCTATTTACCAAAGGAATTCATGTGGTCTTGAACAACAGAAACGCCTGTAATGAATGAATACTAGATGGATCTGGTATATCTACTGGTAACAGTAGCCTGATACATCAGCCAGTTTCACTTGGGGAAACCTCGCAGCATTAGGATCCTTTCGCTCGACGGTAGGCGGGTTTATTTTACCAATCACTGCTATGACGTATGTAATGCGCCAAATCCTGTAGGAAGAAAGGCAATACCGTCTTTCCCCTTGATAAAATTCACCAAACATTCTCTTTGTTCCGGCTTTAAATCCTCGATCTCAGGGAATCGTTGCCAACACAGAATGTATGTCTTCGTCTACATCCATCTCGAAAGCTTTGTTTACAGTTGTGCTGTACCACAAAAGGGACCCAGACAGACGTGACGAGTTTGACGTCATAACTTCACACCTCTTTGCTGATTGGCCGGTGCGCGGTCTACAACTTCCGGGGTTCTTGCAAACCGTCTAGTGTTTTCTGATTCCTGACCTAGTTGCTGGAGAGAAATGAAATTGAGTGGAGGCACTAGGTGGCGCCAGCCTGGCTAAGGTATTGGACCTCCACCAGAAAAGTCGCAACAAGCACCCTTAAAGTCTCAATTAAAGGCAAAATTATTAAAATATTTCACAGAACCTTGCATTTTAAATGTTTTTTTGTAATTAAAACAGCCATATTATAGATATTTGTTATCACATAGCTGGACAACCTCTGCAATGCTTTTGAACTCTTAATATTTTTATTTTTAAAAATTCTATAGAAAAAAAATAATGGAAAATTTACTTCCAGAACCAGAGTGAGCAATCACTGTTCAGCTCCATAGAATGTCATCTGCAAAGAACGAAATACCCCATCTTGTTATAGAAAGTCTCGTTGTGTCTGTACTTTAGAATAGTAAACTTCCTCTCTGCATCCATCAGCCCTCATTCATTTCATCCAGTGTGTGATTCAAATTGACCTATTAAAACTCCAGCTCTGACTGTGTGGCAGTTACACAGGGAAATTACTAATCAGCTGAGCACAGGAGCCCCAGCACGGCCTTCAGTCACTCCCACACAGACCAGTCACAAAGCACAAAGCATCGATCTACTCCTGATTGAGAAAACTGGCTCAGATTTCTGATGGAGAGAAATTTCATTATTTTTTTCTTGGACGACAGTGAGCGACAATCAGAGCGAGGAAATAGAAAAGTGAATCAGCTGGAGAGTGTCACAAACTCACCCAGGCAATCAGGACCGTGAAGGACTCCTGTGTCTGTGGACTTCAGAAAGGTCCTAGCTATAATATAAACGCCAAAACAAAGAACAAATCTACATATAGCCAGCCTCATAGCCTCATAGCGCTACATGTGACAATTTCTGGCATGACGCTGGGGGATTCACTCACTATGTATGTCTAAAGCAGAATGTTCAGCAGTTCCAATGGTGACACAATGTACACACTGTCAAAAAAGATGTAAGTTGATCTGAAAACTTAAGAAAAAATACAAAGGCCCTGTGAGTGATGGTCCTTTTTGGGTGAAAAACAAAAAAGGTGAGAATGATTAACGAAAAAACTGCTACTGAGAGACTTGTTTAACAGCAGCTCACCTGTTGTAATTCCAACTAAATCAGTTGTTTATGGTCAGATTGTGTTAAAACAACACTCAGACTAATGTCTAACAAATAGGGGTGTAACAATATCCAAGTCTCACTATATGATATTGTCACGATTTTGAACTTTATATATATATATATATATATATATATATATATATATATATATATATATATATATATATATATATATATATATATATATATATATATATATATATATATATATATATATATATATATATATATATTATATATATTATATATATATATATATATATATATATATGATATTTATTACGATATCTTGGGAAATCTCACGAAACTTATTACAATATTATACATAATAACAGACAACCATAACTGACATTATAAAATGCTTTGACCAGTCATTTGGTACAACATTTACTGTCATATTCATATCAGTGACATTTTGATCAGTTTGAAAAGCACTTATGCAAATGAGTGATATGGCACGTTTCGTTTCTGTAACACATAAACTAATGTGCACAAAGCTGCATTAAACACATTATTACTCAATGTATGTCTGTGTCCTCCTCTTAGGAAATAAAAAAACACAAACTTAAATGCGATGGCATTTTATATTTTGGCTCCAGTTCAGCCACTAACCTTTTAAACCCGATGCCATCCACTGTGGAAAATGGATTCAAATCACTCGCTATATATTCTGGGATGTATTTCATTATTTCTTAAGCGCTGTTGTGAGGCTTCGCTGTTGTAAATGCTTCACATATAGTTTTTTGTCCCGACTTGATTTTCTGAGCATATTCCTGAAAATTTTCGGTGTGTTGGCTTATCAAGTGACTTCTCATGTTGTTAGTATTTCCTGAGGTGACATGGTGAGGTCACACGGTGCATTGGCAGTGTTTGCACACTGACTTTGTTTTTGTCCGTCACCTTTTCCCCTTTCTCAATTTTTTGTCAGGACAAAACCAAAATGCTTCTAGACCTCAGACTTAAAAGCCACTGGTGCATCCACAACGGGGGCACAGGCCAATGATGTGGCCACGAAGGATTATGGTTCATGTAGTTTACTGTGCTATGCGCCACAGGAGCGAACTGAAAATTCTTGTTTTTGCCTAAAGACACAGTTTAATACCGTGAGAAGACTACAACGATATCGTGGCAATTTTTCTACAATGATATCGTGATATCGCCAATATCGTTACGCCCCTCCTAACAAAGCCTCAGACAAAGTAGTGCCCATAATTAGCTTTACGCCTCCAGAGAATGTTGATGACCCAATGATCAGCTGCAAAGTATCAATAGAATGGAGAAAATTATATATTTGTAGTGTATTGTGCAAAGTCATGGATAACTGCAATGGCTGTCTGAAATTATAGGCAAAAATACAATATAATGTATAAATATAAGTAATTGACAGAACATTTTTGCCAATTCATTATTACACCTCACATTTAATCTTTCCAATGTTAATTATTTTACTATAAAATGACTGCTATTCCTCTTACTGGCATGTTTTTAGTTGCATTTTTCACTATAGTGAGCCTATTTTCTTTGCAGTCTCTCTTATCAATGCCTTTTTCTAATCACAATTGTTTAAATATTTAACAGGTCAAATATCTCTGGCTTAAATAAAAGATGGGCTCCCATACGCTGCCCCATTTTGCACTGTGCTTTAGTTATAATGGCGCCATCAGAGGCAATAATGACATTTGTTTATATTAAAATACATTTACTGCTGCTTTCCCATTCTGTTCAACCCAGCTAGACTATTGTGTCTTTGTGAAGTATTGTATTAAAGTTTTATGGCCAAAGATCTCCATTTATTTTCAGCCCAATCTTATAATCTGTCCACAAATATAGGCTTATACCCCTGCATGGGCTGGGTACAATAATTACAGTATTACTATATCAATTTCAATATATGAGACTTAATTAAACTACATTATATAATTATTTAACATTTTGTTCATTGTAATATTGAGCTAAAACAACTTCTGAAGTCTGCATTTTTTTGAATTATCACCACTGGAGAAAAGAGGGTGGAGATGGGGGTGAGGGAAAACAGAAATTTTTATATACCGTATTTTTCGGACAATGAGTCACTCCAACCAAAAAATAAGTTCTGAAGAAGAAAAAAACATATATAATTCACACCGGACTATAAATTGCACTTTTTGGGGGAAATTTATTTAATAAAATCAGAGACCATGTTGGATCTTGAAAGGCAAGTTCTAGTAATAACAACAGAATAGAGAACAACAGACTGTTAACGTCACATATGAACAGTTCTTCAGATAAACTATAACATAAACAACAGAACAGAACAAGTTTACCAAACTCTCCATCTCACTCCAAATCACTAAATCCATTCAATTCTTCATCCTCTGTGTCACAACAGCTGTCGTCAGACTCGGCATCAGTTCCAGTTAGAATTATTCTGGCCTTTCTGAATCCCGACAGGAATGGTTTTGTCTTTGTTTGTTTACATTTTAAATTGTCACTGATACAGAAGTAATGGTGCGATCGACTGACATGATACAGACAGGGCAGAGGCTCTTTATTTTTCTTTTGCAGCCGACATGCGCAGTAGAGTGTGAAGTGACAGTGGTACAGGAGTGCACAAACCTAGAGCGCCCTCTCGAGGCTGTAAGTGTGAAAATATTAATGTATAAGTCACACCGGAGTATAAGTTGCAGGACCACCCAAACCATGAAAAAAGTGCGATTTATAGTCTGAAAAATACAGTAGTAGTGTTAGAATGGTTTTGATCTAACATGTATATAAGACCACATGTAAGATCACATGTATTATTTTGTATAGACTCTAAAAAATGATCTTTGCCCTGCTCAAATTGGTAATATTGAAATCAAGTTTGAACTTTTGAAAAGCAATTACAGCTCATGTTTTATCATGCTTTATGCTGAATGGTTTTAACCTTCTATTTCCAATGAATTATGCAGATGAAAGTTACGCAGTGTTGCTTTAAAGGTGCACTGCATAGTATTTCTAGTGGAGGGTACATTACAGTTCAGATCTGTGGAGAGTCACCCCTATTCACAGAAGGAATTTTTATAGTTTTAAGCAATAGAAACACCAGTAATGAATGAATAATACTAGATGGATGTGTTTAATGTCCTATGGAACATTCCAGGCAAAGAAATAACATCTCATGCTTTGTTGTTATTGTGTCAGTGGAAATATGTTTGTTTATTGTAATATTTTGTGTAGTTATATCTGCTCTTGAGAGTCGTGACAGGCCGTACCAATGCAAATCAGTGTTTATCAAGCGGAGGAGGACTCTGCTCTGGAGCCAAAGTAAACTGTACATCAGAGTATAACATATGAGGCCATTAGAGGAGGCTGTAAATGTGATCGGACTGCATTAAGTACTGACAATTTAAAGGAGGATTTACACTGTACTGTTCTTAAATAAACTGTAAATCTTTATGCTTGTGCTACTGGAGGATGGTGAGCTAGTCTTTCTACTTTCGCTTCAAATTCAGCAGGTTCTGGGACCAGATGGGCAGTAAATAAAATCCAATCACACACTTATTTGTAATATATGTCTCTCAAATGTGGAAGACATCTCGTATTTGCTCTTCTCTCAAGTGTTAATTCTCCCTTTCTGTGTTTATATTGTGAACTTTGAACACTCCTATTGTTGGAACATAAATAGAAAATTGCAATGCTTTTCTAAAATATTGCAAGTAGAACATTTTACATTTCAGCCCTAATGTATCATAAATGTATTTTTTTCTTTTAATTAACTATGTATACAATAAAAGTTGGAGGTATGTATGGTTTTGGATTGTCTCTTTAGAAATGCTATTATTTGCCTGGAGTGTTCCACAGTATGGCATTATCTATCTCCACACAGACAAGCAGGTGACACCACAGATACAGGTCAGATCTGTGGAGACTCTGCTCAGTTAGATACTTTTCAAGGTATTTCTTTGCCTTTGCTGGAATAAAAAATAGATGTGTTTAATAACAACTGTTGAACATTCTAAGCAAAAGACTAACAATGTCATGGAAACAAGCAGGTGTCAGACCCTCCCTCAGAAATGTTACATGCACCTTTAAGGTTAAGGTTTATTACTTCATTCATTGAAAGTAAATTCAGTGAATATTTTCATGCAGTTACAATTTATACAAAGTACAGATTTTAATCGAGATAGAGATTCAGTTATTGTCAGTGATGTTTGGATGAAGGAATGTGAGTATTTTTTCCAGTGATTTAAAATCTGTTTCATTTATGTTCTGGAAATGAATATTTAAAAGTGGAAAAATGCCTAGCACACTCAGATGGCCGCTGTCCAAAAGCTTTTTTTTATTTTTATTTTGGACATCGGCTATCTGAGTGTGCTATGCATTTTTTCACTATTAAATAGGGGTATGCAAAAATATCAAAATATCAATATATTGTATTAATTAATGTGACGATACAGTATCAGTTTTGTGGGCTGCTGTATCTTTATATCGCCAGGAGTATTTTTTGTTGTATTTTAGTAAATTATTTTGTTACAGCTACAGTTTTATAGCTTGTTCAGACAAGTGTTTTTCATATTCACTTTGCACAAGAAGTGGTTTCACAAAGACTTTTAATATCACAGTTATGATTTAGCCTTTATTTTTTTATTGAACTGTACTGAATCAATTCAAAATATATTGAATAGAATCAAAAGTGCACTGTATTGAGATATATATCGTATTGTGGCCTATGTATCGAGGTATGTATTGTATCGGCAACTTCTGAATGATACCCAGCTCTGCGTTTAAATAGCTACTCCCTGCATTTGCACCTCTACAAGAACTTTAGTGTGCGTTTCCATTTGATTTCAGGAAATGAATATTGAAAGTGACTTTTATGTTTTAATACAAAAGACAAAATAAAATATAATGTCATATTTTGATCGATTAACATGATTAATACAAATTATATCTTTTGTTTTTTCAGGGCTGCTATTGAGGAAAGCTACTCAAAGTCCATGAGCAAACTGGCCAAGACTGCGAGTAACAGCAGTGCACTGGGGTAAGTAGCACAGAACTGCCCCTCTCGCCTTGGTAAGGTTCCGCCATATGTCCTGTCACTACGGCAACACAGTTATAGAGCATACAGTATGTCAGTGTATGAGATATGAATGAGAACCATCTGCTCCACACCAAATGGTCCATATTTATAATTTACACATGGCCTCACAGATATGGTACTGTGACCCTGTCTTTAAGGCAATGTCATTTTCTCGTATTAATAACCAGAAGTGTAAATGGACAATATAACTTGGCTATAAACATTTGCTCCATTAAAGTAAGCATGGTCAGTATATCGGTGGCGATATGAAAATCGGCTGATATATGGAATGTTCTCATTATTGGTCAATTTAACATATACTATCAGTCAAAAGTTTTAGAACACCCACATTTTTCCACTTATTTATTGCAAGTCCAATGAAGAGTCGTGCAAGTCCAATGAAGAGCTTGAAATGGTACAAAGGTAAGAACTGAACAGCCAGAGGTTTATAAAAAAGATAAAAGATACAAAAGTCCAAGCTCTGCCAAAACTACCTCAGGAAAAAAGAACAAGGTGTTGAGCTTGAAAACTTGGAGTGTCCAGCACAGTCTCCAGACTTAAACCCATCGAGCTGGTTTGGAATTAATTGGACAGAAGAGTGAATCAAGGCAAGGCAAGGCAAGTTTATTTGTATAGCACAATTCATACACAAAGTAATTCAAAGTGCTTTACAGAATAAGAAATACATTAAAATCATAATAAAAACAAATCAAAACATATAAACAAATATAAACACAACAATAATCATGAAGATTAAAATTAAAAAGAGAGACATAATATAGACATAGAAGCAACCTACAAGTGCCACACATTTATGGAAACTTCTGCAAGAGACTTGGGAAGAACTTTCTGAAGAATATTTGATTTCTATTGTAAAAAGAACGAGCCACGAGTGTGTTCAGCTGTTATATCTGCCAAAGGTGGACACTTTCATGAATCAAAAGTTTAGAATATGTTTTGGTCAGTAGTAAACAGTAAAAAATACTGGAAAAATGTGGTGCTCTAAAAGTTTTGAGTGGTAGTGTAACTCAAAACTTTGGGTCAACTGGATTATGTCAAATGCTTCTTAAAGGTCCTATATGACACAGTTTTTAATCATGTTATAATACTGTCACCTCATCAAAAATATATCTGGATTTGTGTTTTGTTTCTTTCACATATTTGAGTAATCCTTTATTATTTGTCTGTCTCCATCTCCAAAGCTCAAAATGCTCTGTTCCACCTTGTGATGTCATGAAGCACTAATTATCAAGTTGACAGCTGCCTTTTTTACTTTTAGTTCAGTAGAGATTGGCAGGTACAGGGCTGAAATCATCCAAACGATTCTAGTGTAAATGTGTGGAGTTTTAAAACACAGCGCCACATTTTCTGTTTTACCATATGATATCACAAGGTGGAACGTTTATTTTGAGAAAAGACCACAGCCTAAATATGCAGGATTTGTGAGTTAAACATGTGAATGAAACAAAACACAACTCCAGGTATGTTTTTGATGAGGAAACATTATAACATAGGTCAGAAAATAGTGTAATATGGGCCCTTTAAGCTGTCTCCTGCGATTGTGTTGCCAGATAAGACTGTATTCATCAGTTTTGAGGAGGAGGGATGCGCTGTTTTTGCTCCTAAACTCTGGTCTGCGCTATAAATCAACTTTTTATAGCAGCTCTATTTGTAATGTATTTCACAATAATAACCAGCCATGCTCTCTGTATTCTGCAAAGCACTTTCTTCATTAATCTCACTATTTGTACCATAGCGACAAGAAGGACAAAATGCTGAGTGGTCACATCCAGGAGCCAAACTGCCTCCAAATAGTGATGAGCTGTGTCTTTGCAGCAATTCTCAGCTTTTTGGAACAGGCCGGTGTGGGATTTGCACCTGTCAGGAGTTTTATACCTGTCAGGAGTTTTACACATACACACAGAGCTCTGCAGTCTGTGGTCTGTCCCCCTCTCTCATTATTCACCCACATGTACCATTTTAAACAGGGGACGCTTTTGGACAAAACATTCAAATACAGAAGCCACTTTAAACTGTGAATGCATTGCCAGTGTGTTGCAGTGTAAGTCAAATTTAACAGTCAAATTTAACTGTAAGCTTTAACTGTACATTGTTATAAATAAATGTGGTTGGGCAATAAATACATTTAAATCAATTACACAAGAAGGATTATTAATGAGATGATTAAGAAAATATATTAACATTAATCTAATCTTTTTTCAGATTGAGAATTATTATAGGAGCACTCTGTTAATTTTTTGATGAGTGGTCTGTCACTTGATAGGCTTCATGGATAAGGCTGGGTATCATTAATGAGTTGCCGATACGATACATACCTCGATACATAGTGCACGATACGATATATAGTGAGCTTTCTATTCGATACGATTAATTTGATATATTTCAAATTGATTTGATACGGTGCAATAAAAAATAAAGCCTCGCCCATGGCTGTGATACTAAAATTCTTTGTTAAACCACTTCTTGTGCAAAGTGAATATGAAACACACACATGTTTAATAATCAAAACAGTAAACACGTCAAATGTGTCGCGTAAATGAGGCTCCTTTCTCCAAAGAAGCAGCAAAACTGTTGCGCTGTAACAACATAATTTGGTAAAATATACCAAAAATACTCCTGGTGATATATCAATACAGCAGCCCACAATATCGATACTGTATCTTCACATTAAACAATACAATATATTGATATTTTGTTATTTTTGCACACCCCTATTCATGGAGATGTTATTGCTTTGCCTGGAATGTTCCACAGTACGGTATTAAACGTGTATATCTGGCATTTATTCAGTTACAGGTGTTTCTGTTCATAAAGACAAAGTGCATTCTTACTCTGAGTGGGGTCACCTCTCTCCACAGATCTGACCTGCTCTGTTGGCTTGTCTCCATGGAGGTGGATAGATAGAATAGATAGATAGAATACTGTAGAAAATACAGGCAAGCTCTACATCAGAAAAGTTTCATAGTGCTGCTTTAAAAACATTTTAACCATTGCAATTTATGAGCGGCAAGTAAAGAATGTACAGTGATTGAAATCCAGCATAATTTCAATTGCCACAGTGCAAAACAAAATTATATCTTTTGAATGGGCAAAGTCCTAAAATATTGCTGAAGCCTATGAATATTCCCTAATAGAAGTTTATGGTGCACTCTTTGATCTATGTTAATGTTTAAGTTCAAGATCAAGAGCATTTAGCTTTTCTGCTTGCACACGATTTCCAAAATACCCTCATAATCTCTTATGTTTGTGTTATTGCAGAACATTTGCTCCGATGTGGGACGTGTTCCGAGTGTCTGCGGACAAACTGGCGCTGTGTCACCTGGAGCTCATGAGGAAAATGAACGACCTGATCAGAGACATCAATAAATACGCAGAGGAGCAGGTCAAAGTTCACCGCAAGGTACAGTTAAAGAAACTTGTGTGTATTCTATAGGCCTGGGAGCATTGTGGGGTCTGGATTCTTTGTTGAAAGAGCATTATGTAATATTTCTGGTAGAGGGTAGGACTCAATTAATTTTTTGTCTCCATAGAGATGTTATTATTTGCTTGGAATGTTCCACAGTATGACATTAGACTTATCAAACTTGCACTTGGTATTTTTATTGCTAAAATACCCTGTATAACATATTTCTTGTCTCTTCACAGATCTGAAGTTATTTAGTGCACCTCATTCTATTTATGCTGTACAGCACACTTATTTGAATAATCAAAAATCACATAAACATTGTAGTTCTACCACAACTTTATTTTGTGAAATATTCCAGTACTAACAAATATTGCTGATGTATTGATATGGAAGATGCTGTTTTTGTTTTGTTTTGTCATGAGAAAGTATAAACGTATATAAAAGTATAGAAATTATAAAAGAAGCTGAAACCCACAAATGGATGCCATTTTAAGCACTTTTCTTTATTCAGAGATACAATATTTAGTTTGGAATTGTTAACTGCCATGGCAACGGGTTTCTTCACTCTGAAACGCATGGATTGTATGGGACTATTCTTTCTCATGGTCTGCCCTCTGTCCTTTCTGTTGTAAACCTAAACTCGTTTATCTCACCCAAATCCAATTACTCTTGTGTCTGCTCTTTGTATTTACTTAATTTAATAGACGTACATACGGTCTATAGGGCACTGTTTAATGTGTGGACCGTTGCGATGTTGCAGACGAAAGAGGAGATGGTGGGCACCGTGGAGGCCGTTCAGGCCCTGCAGGTTCAGAGCGGGCACCTGCAGAAGTCCAAAGAGGGGTACCACGCCAAGTGTATGGAGCTGGAGCGACTCAAGAAGGAGGGAGCGCCACAGAAAGAAGTGGAGAAGGTCAGAATTACATGAGCATAAACTATGCAGTACTGGATCAAATATATTTCAGATGACATCACAACATTCTACTTCATGACAAATGTATGAGAAGGACATCATCACATTTTCTGAAAACCACAAGTAGTATGGCCTTTTTTGGCCTAAATTCAGTCTGTTTTGCTTTTAAAAAGGGCAAAGTGTAAGCAATTTATGCATTTGTGGACAGGAAAAATTTGCTTTTCTGGAGCTGGATTATAAAGACACTGTATGTAGACTGCTCTCTTACTGTTTTAAAAAGTATTACTGTCACAACTGAACCTCTGTTGCCAGTGCAGATACATGACACATACAAGTTTTTCTCATTCTTGGTATATAGATAGTGCATGACTCATGACTGAGCTGCAGAGGCTGAACTAGCGCTAGTTCATGATCGGGTTTGGGTAGTGACAGTTCAGAGCATTTTAGGTTTACACTAACTGGATTTCAGCATTAACAAACTAGCAACCCAAACACAAATGAGAGACTGAGGTCCATTCTACTTTCTGATTGGATAACAATCTTGAGAACCAAAAAAACAAATTACAACACTGAGAACTTGGCCATCACATCTAACGTTTTTGTAATTACGAATAAATCAGCATTAGAATTGTTACTAGTAAAAGTTATATTCAATTTGACCATGTCTTCACCATGTCAGGGAGCATGGATAGGTCCTGTTTAAGGAATTTAAAAACTAAATCTTACATACAGTTCCTTTAACAAAAGTTTGATTTCTCTGCTTATTCCTCTGGTGTGATGTTTGGACCAATCTGTTTCAAATATTCACCTTCAAGTTCTGCCTTTTCCTGTTCAGCTTCAATGAGACTCATCCCGGACTGACAGACTCAATTAACACCTACTGTATTATTCTGGCATTACTGCGGTGGCATTCCTCCAACAGTGACCATATTTATCCGTTCCTCCTGGTGTCACTAGGCGGAGCTGAAGTCTAAGAAAGCGGCAGAGTCGTTTGCCCTGTGCATCGAGAAGTACAACCGCGTGGGAGGAGAGTTTGAGCAGAAGATGAGTGAATCCGCACAGGTCAGACCCATGTACAACATTTACACTGTAGCAGGTCTGTTCTTTTTAGTTAGTTAAGTTAGTTTATTCTTTATTTATCAGGGTCAAAGTACAAAAATATTACATCACATGTACATTACAATATTAAGATGTCTGTGTAATCCCTTAGTTGTCCAAGTAGAGTTAATTAGTATCGAACTAGTATGAAAACTAGTTAAGTACGCCTAGATACTCATTTAAGCAAGTGTAATTTCTGAAGAATATAGCATGTTTTTATAATGTAGATGTTAACTTGAAAACTACCACTACATGACATGGCAAGGTGGAACAGAGCATTTTGAGTTTGGAGATGTAGATAAACTTTGGAGATGTAGATAAACTCAAACTCAAACATGTGTGAATGAAGCAGAACACAACTCCAGGTACATTCTAACACGACTTAAAGCTCACAGGTCAATTTTGTGTAATATAGGACCATTCAAACAAAAAGCCCCAAAAGACAATGAAAATATCCCATTCAATAAAAGTGTTCCCTCCGTAGTTTCATTTCTTGCATACCAATACGTACAATTAATTAAAAAGTTAGTTGATGTGGAAAACAAACTATATACACATTATGTCTATCTGCTTGTCTTATTAAAGGTACCACATTGCGACCTTTTCAATGGCATTAGTCACCCTCTCCACCTCCTTGGTTACGGCTGCTGTTACCATAGAAACCTCCTACAAAGCTTAATTAGAGGATCTGTTTTGAAATAATGACTGGGCTCTACATATGTAGCTAATTAGCTTTGAGAAGGCCGAGGTCTGAGTATGACAGTGAGCACATTATTGGTGCTAAATACAAAATGGATTTAGGTCAAAGTTTCCTTTATCTCAGTTTGATGCTCTCATACAAGGCCTGTCACGGAAATTTGAATCCATGGTGAAAAATGAAGGCTGTTGCCTTAGCGATTAACAATTTAAAGGTTGTATAGAGGATTTTCCAAGGAACGAGAAATCCAGCGACTGTTTGTCCTTTTTCAAATGTTGCGCATACATGAAACCACCCCCCCTCCCCTACAGCTCCCTACGAAGAAACACCTCCTCCTTACGCCAGAAACAGGTTTGTTTCTAGAAAACAAGTACTCATCTCTGCACATGACTTGTAAACAACTAACTACAGTGTTGGTTAGGCAAGGCGGAGAAGTGAGGAGCGGGGGGAGGGGGGCGCGGACAAGAAGTGAGGAGCAGCGGGAAGAGCGGAGCGGGGAGAGGAGAGGGGAGCGGTGCGGTGCGCGGAGAAGAAGTGAGGAGCAGGGAGAAGAGCAAAACGGGAAGCGGGGAGAGAAGCAGTAAGGGGTGCGCGGAGATTCAGTGCGAATGAAGCTACTACTACAACACGCAGAAGCAAGTGGACTCTTTCTTTGCATTGAAAATTACGTTTTCAGACATAGGATATCACATTCGTGTCTTGAAAAACATTTGTCTAGCTCTTGGAAATAAAGTATGTTTTCATAATAAGCAGAAGTTACCTGTCCAGGAGTAATTTGGAGACCAATGTGTCAGTCTTTAGACCCTTCGTCTGCTTCAGTTGCGCCATCGCTGGAATGAATCTCCGAGAATCACCTTAGTTTGGCTTTGCTGCTTTTCCCCTTGTCTTCTTCTTTCAGCGACCTCAAAAACGGACTTTCTTTTGGGGCTAACTGCTCCTGGATTCTTGTCGCCATTGCAACAAACTTTGTTCTAACTGCGAGGAAGATATAGGTCAAAAAAGCCGCTACTGTTGTGTTGGTGGAGTAAACAGCGTCTGTGCGGCTTGCGTCTGTGGACTGCGTGACAGGCGTACGCAAACCACGTAATGGCAGCGCGCAGGCAAGTCAGTTACGCTAGAAACGTGGGGAGTTTGATTGACAGCCTGTCAGCTAACAGATAACGAGGCAGTGTCGTTATCTATTGGCAAATGTTTAGCCCCACCACGTCCAGAGTTGATGAATTTTTATTCTCTTTTTTTGGTCATCATAATTACAAGGCTACTGCACCTCTATAATGCTATCATTGACAATTTGAAACAAAAAAATCCTCCATACAACCTTTAAAAACAAAATATTATATCTTTTTGTATGGTGAAAAGTCCACAAAATTTCACATATAGCAGAAAACTATAAGCACAGGCTGTTCGTAGAGAAACTACCACTGTTGCCATAGTGATTAACAATTTAAAACTTAATATTTTATCTTTTTGAGTGGGGGGAAGTCCTTAAAATGTCACCTATAACAGGAATTCCAAACTTATGAATTGGCTATTATGTTGAGCCCTAATGGGCGACTTTTTGTTGGATAAAAGTAAAGAGTAAAAAAAAGGGGGAAAAAAGAGAAGAAAACAACAGGAGTATTTTTGCAGAATCAGCAGGTGAAGCACTAAACTCTGTAAATCAGAGGTAAAAAAAAAAAAAGTTTGTCTTACTTTAATCCAATATGGTTCATTTAGAAATGTGTTTTTAAATACTTATATACTATACTGTATACTGTACTATACATGTACTGTATATATACTTTATACTGTAATAAGTCAGTAGGGTAAATTGGACCTCAAAATTATTGTTTATTACTTTTCTGCTGCAATTTATCCCATTTCAAAATGTTATCTCATAAAATACACACATTTTATAGTTTCAGACAAAACCCTTTATTGTATTAAGTTGTAGACATCAGAGAGTTTGAGTCAAGCCTTTCTGTTCAAACTCTTGCCTCTTACTTTGTGCAAACACAGCAACATGCATCCGCAATGAATTATAGATTTCCCAAAATGCTGAGGCATACGATAAGTCTCAGGCCGGAACTAAAGCAATAAAAATAACATTTCACAAAATAAATGCAATTTATTAAACTGTGTTTGAAAACAGTACACCTTTTTTGGCATCAAACATGAAAAAGAAGTTTACTAGATGCTTTTTATAACTAATATTTTATGAATTTAATTGAACGAAACTCCATACACTTTTATTGGTGTAACATAAGCCAGGCTCTACATCAAGACTACACCCGCAGAGCAGACAGCAACAAATGAGTTGTGCTGAATGGATATTTTAATGCTAAATCCTCTCAAATTATCTCTGGGTTACAGTTTGGCAGCCCCATCTCCTGTATTGGCTCAGAGCCCTGGCGCCTTGTAGGCTTTGAGTTTTTTTTTTTTTTTAAAGATGTGTATTGGCTGAATAAAGTAAAATGTATTAGTTGGTACTCATGACTATACATAATTTTTGTAACTATGCAGAATGTAAACTACATAGAATATATAAAAGAGTTACTTTTATTCATCACATTTTTACCACTAAGCTATCTCATTACTGTTGACTCAAATATGCTTATGTAGTTTTAAAGAAGCACTATGTAACTTTTCTGGTTCTGGTCTGCCATCTGCTTGTCTCCATGGTGATGTTATTGCCTTGCCTGGAATGTTCCACAGTATGGCACATTATGTTCTCTTACATTTTGTTCTATTGCTTAAGCATTACTCAGATGAAACATGTCTGACCTGGTTGTGTCATATGGATATAGATAGATTTAATACCATACTGTGGAACATTCCAGGCAAAGCAGTAAGGTTTCTTACCCTCAACAAAAAAATTACACAGTGCACATTTACATTTAAATAAATTGTATAGACATAATTGGTCAACCGTGTATAACCTTTGAGAATTTTCCTAGATATATATAATAATATAGTAGCATATATTTAGATTTTCCTTTTAAATTCTGTATGTTTTGTTTTCTTACGTTTGCAGAAGTTTCAGGAGATTGAGGAGACTCACTTACGTCAGATGAAACAGCTCATTAAAGGTTACTCTCACTCCATAGAGGACACCCATGTGCAGGTGGGACAGGTACGCTGGGCACAAAGCTTTTTTACTATTCCCTATTCAAAGGTGCATTTTCTTTTTGTATGCTTCAGTAAACTGCATTTCCTTGGATTTGTCTCTAGGTCCATGAGGAATTCAAACAAAATGTGGAAAATATTGGAATTGACAACCTGATCCAGAGGTTTGCAGAGCAGAAAGGGACGGGCAAAGACAGGCCAGGTACGAGTGATTGTACACTATTCTGTTTATTTTATCTTGGGTAACAAATGAAAAGCAAGTGAAATTTAGAAAGATTTAACTTTTATGACTGTGTTGTATTATCTTTCTTTTCTTTCATAATTAGCTTTCCTGAATTTATTTTTTCTGTATGCAAAATAAACCAGATTGTGGCACTATTTGGGGTAACATTAGCCTAGAAACCCAAGTACCTAGTTTTTAAGCACAGAAGTTTCCTTTGGTGAAGCAGTTACATAAAGCTCTTAACATGGTGTGAGTGATTATCTATTTGTATCTTAGAATTAGACTTAAATAAACTTTATTGAGCCACAAGAGAAATTATTTGGACACAGTAGCTCACACATCACAATATATTCTAATAACAAAGAGCAACAATATAAATGATAACTAAATGGCAAGTGAGGCTGAAGCAGTATTGTAAAAAGGACCTATAGTGGTTTACAATGAACAAAATGTACAGTGTGTGCTAACAGCCTGATATATCGTCTTTAACTTTTATTAAAATATAACATTGTAGTTGTGTTATTTGTGTGTGTGTGCAGCTCTGGTTGGTTTTGAGGAGTACATCACTGTGGCCCCTGAAGGAGTGAAGAAGACTCGAGGGAAAGCATTCAGGCTCCCGGGGCTCGGCCGGAGAGACAAAGAACCAGACTCAACGTGAGAAATGCAAACTCTGTGGATCTGAACATGTGACATTGAACTGTTTCTGACTGTGTTTATGTTTTTACAGAGACTCAGCCATGACAGAAACACTGGTGAGTTTTTTTTTTTTTTTTTTGTGCCACTCAAAACTATTATTAACTATAATTATAGCTTAAAGCAACTATCAGAGCTAATAACTACACTAATACCTTAATGATGAAGTTTGATGGAGAGTTGAAAGCAAAAAAAAACATCCAAGTCAATATAAAATCAAGATGAGAAAGACAAGCCACTGAAAAGCTTTTCAATTTGGCATTAAAGGTATCTATCTCTATGGAGACCACTTACAGTAAGAATGTATGATTTCCAAAGTATTTTAGACTTAGACGAACTTTGGATTCACAAGGGAAATTATTTGTTTTATTTTGAGCACCAACGCCTGGTGGAATAAATGAAACTGATACATTTAATACCATACTGTGGAATTCTGTAGGCAAAGGATTAATTTTTCCATTGTGACACACAATAGTTGGCTTGCAGTGGCCATCTCTGTTATGCTACCAACAAGTAGCATGCTAACGGTGCATCAGCATTACTTCCTAGTTTGCAGACAAGAGGCAGTGGCAGAGTTAGCAATTCTAGGCAAACTTGAGTTTGGGGTCCTCATTATAATGTTCAGTAAATATATATATATTTGTTGCCTGCTTTTCCCCATTGTTCTTGAGACATGCACAACTCTATTTATTTGAATTGTGGTGGATTGGAAACTTTTCTTATTAGTTCGGAAGCCTATTATATAACCAGAACTGAAAGGAGTTTTATTTTTTTGCTAGTACAGTTACATTTTTGTTTACATCCATTACATAGGATTATGATTATTTTTCTTATGAATATTGTTTAAAAGTAAACTACTCTCATTTAAAATCCTATTGAGAGAAAATCTAACTGCTCTGAGGCCTTGTCTAATAGTGGCACTGAGGGCAAATTGGTTGGGGCCCCTCCAGGTTTGGGGGCCCTAAGCAGCCACTTAGTTTTGCCTAATGGTAGCGCCGCCTCTGAATAGTAGCTAGACGTATTTTACTTAACATTAAAAAAGTGTGTACAGTCCCTTTAAGTAGACACGTGTGGTTATTATTTTTGAATGAATTACAAACCAGACCCACACGTCCAGTATCAAATCTGCCCCCCCTCCCCAAAGTGTTTTCATCATGTGAGTGTGAGTGTGATAGTGACGAGGTCCCGTGTAGGATTTCCCAAGTTTATTCTGGTCTTTCTGAGAATCGTCCGGACCCTAGAGCAGCAGCAGTGTGCTACCTGTGTATTTGGGCCAGAGTGTCCTCACAGCTGCACGTGCACAGAGCAGAGTAAATAAACACACTCCAAGTCCGATACGGTGTCATTTTAAAGAGACACGCCTTAAAGCTTTACTATGGGACATCAGAGACTCACAGAGCAAGCACTACATGACTGGAAATGAAAGCACAATTTTACTTTACTTACTTTACTTTAAAATCATTTTCCTTTATTTAAGCAACACTATACAGAATTATGCACTATATTAGACACACATCATGGTTAAACATTCACCTCTTTGTTTAGTTGGACTAGGGCTTCATCTAATCCCTATTTGATCATTGATTCATCTGGTAATTATTCTATAAATTAGCTGTTTTATATTTCAAAATGTTTATGAATATGAGACTTTTATGAAATTGGACAGAGGTTAAGCTGGAGGAATGGGAACATCTTCTGAAAGTTCACGCCACACTGTGATTGGTCACTCAAAGCCTTACAGCGGCTGATTAATTAGAGAAGTGAGTTTGAGCAGACAGTTATATTAAATAGTGAAGTGATATCACGATATGTCACCGAGATGAGATCAGGATTCGATTTTTATGACCGTTTCTCCCAGCCCTAGAGGAAAGAAATAATCAGATACGTACGTGCACTTTGTGATACTGAATTTTGGCTGGAGTAGTTTGAACCATCTGACAAACGTGCACTTACAGAGAACAAACTGTGCCCGTACATCATCTGAACAAATTAAAAACATGAATGGCTCATGTTAAAAATAACCCTACATTCTCAGTAATATTAGACACTGGGGACTTCCTCAATCTCTTCAAACATTACACAGATTATGTTTCTGCTTTCCCGTGTTTATGTTTTGGGTTGATGTGGGAACAGGAGTGTAGAAACCCATCCAGGCACAAGGAGAACATGCAAACTCCACACAGAAAGGTTCGGGTGGTTCGAGGATTGAACTGGTAACCTTCTCGCAGTGAGGGGAGAGAGATAGCCACTCAGTCTTTTTACCATTATGCGAAAGAAAACCTTTTTCTGAGCTTTCATGAGGAAAAAAAGGGTGTCAGTACTGAACAAACAACTGACTACACAACAGAAAGAAAGGCTTAAAGGTGCACTGTGTAACTTTTCTGGTTTGGTGTCCGTCACCTTCATTTTTCTATGGATATGTACTTGCTCTGCCTGGGATGTTGATAGGAAGATTTAATGCCACACTGTGAAACATTCCATACATGGCAATAACATCTCCACAGAGAAAAGCATTTGACGGACCCTTCACCAGAAAAGTGACACAATGCACCTTTAATGTAAGCCAGTGTGTCATTGTCGATTAGGGCTGGGTATCATTAAAACCGCTTGTGGCCGCAGTTTTGTCCTTTTGGTCATTACCAAGAGCTCATGACCATAGGTGAGAGTAGGAAGGAAGATTGACCGGTAAATCAAGAGCTTCGCCTTTCGACTCAGTTCCCTCTTCACCATAACGATCCAATACAGCGACCACATCACTGCCGACCATGGGAGAGTCACACGGGAGGAGCTTGGAGTAGAACCGCTGCTCCTCCATGTCGAGAGGAGCCAGTTGAGGTGGCTCGGGCATCTGTTCCGGATGCCTCATGGACGCCTCCCTCGGGAGGTGTTCCGGGCATGTCCCACCAGGAGGAGGCCCCGGTGAAGACCCAGGACACGCTGGAGGGACTATGTCTCTTTGGCTGGCCTGGGAACGCCTCGGGGTTCCCCTGGAGGAGCTGGAGGAGCTGGAGGAAGTGTCTGGGGTGGAGGAAGTCTGGGAGTCACCGGTTAGACTGCTGCCCCTGCTATCCGACCCCGGATAAGCGGAAGAAAATGGATGGATGGATCAATAAAAAATTACCGATACGATACATACCTCGATACATAGGCCACAATACGATACATACCTCGATACATAGGCCACAGTACGATACATACCTCGATACATAGGCCACAATACGATACATACCTCGATACATAGGCCACAATACGATACATACCTCGATACATAGGCCACAGTACGATACATACCTCGATACATAGGCCACAATACGATACATATCTCGATACAGTGACATTTTGATTCGATATGATATATTTCTAAATGATTCGATACGATTTGCTGTCTTTGTTAAACCACTAATTGTGCAAAGTGAATATGAAAAAAGCCATTTTACTCCTCAAAACAATGAAAATGTCAAAAGTGTTTCCTTTCACTGAACTGTAGCTGTAACAACATAAATTAACTCTTGGTGATATATTAATACAGCAGCCCACGATATCGATACTGTATCATCACATTAAATGATACGGTATATCAATATTTCAATATTTTTGCACACCCCTGTTGTCGACAAACTGAATTCCTGATAAAGAGTGATAAAAATCTAACTTAAATCATTCTGAGCACCCAATATTTCTGTCAGTATGTTTCCAGCTGCTCTGACACGTGTACAGTTCATATCTCTGTCTGTCTCTGTGTATTTGACCTGCTGCTGTCTCCTCCTCCACAGAACTCTCCTCTTGAAGTGGACGACGAGGGCTTTGTAATACGAGCTGAAAACACTCAAAATGATATCCTTTACCCATCAGTGCTGTTTTAAATGATTACACCGTGACCCCTGTATCAGTCCGTGTGTGTGCTTTAAACAGCTGTTGTGTCTTATGTTACAAGCAACTGTTAAAACGATGATGGTGTTATAGGACGTTTCTATTAATGAATGACAACTCATAGTAAAAAGAGAGGAGGAGTTAGGTGTTAATGTTTAAATATATCTCGTAATGTGGATTGAAATTGACCACCGACATACACACTTTCCACATTCATAATAGGTAATGTGGTGGAAGTGTTTTGCCCAAAGGTTTCAATAACATTCCTGCTATTTGGTTGTCACAATACAAAAAAATTTAACTTTATTTCAGTACAAAAGAAATTCCGCAATACTGTTTTGATACTCCTTTTTATATACCAGTAATCAACAGTGGCAGAAGAAGTACTCAATTGTGTTACTTAAATAAAAGTAAAGATGCTAGTACAAAAAAAATACTCAAGTAAAAGTATCACATGAAAAAATCGACTTAAGTAAAAGTGTTAAAGCATCTGTTTAAAAATGTAAAAGAATATAAAGTAAAAGTAAGTATTAAAGCTTCAAATGTAGTGATTTTGATACAGATTTGTGCAGAATTTTGGTCAACAGAAACAAGTGAAGTAATATTTTTTCCGAGTTGTTTTTATTTTTTGTATATTTTTGTTTGCTCAAAGTATGTGCAAATCCTTTCAGCAGGTCTCAGATTGTAATAAAAATAATACTTTTACTTTTCCGTGCTGTTCAAAAATGTACTGGAGCAGAAACTACAGATACCTGCTCTCAAATGTAGTAAAGTAAAATGTTTCCACAAAATGTACTTATGTATAATACAGATACCTAAAATGATTAACACAAGTACCTCACCCCCTTCGCATCAGATTTAAAATGAAATACTCTTCCCCATTCAGTCAGAGTTAATTGCTGTGAATGCCTCTGACACAGTACTGGGTTAATGCGGTTAGACCCTGGGGTCAAAGGTCCCGGTCTGGGTGCGTTTCGTTTATGCGCCTCACTGACTCAATTCATGAACTCATTATCAGAAGAGCAGGACAATTATCATGACCCTGCTCCCTTTTATTACTGCAAATGACCAAACGCATCCTCCTGGTTAGATTATAATGGAAACAGACATGTTATGGGGAAAGAGCGTCATTAAAACCATTCCCTGACTCGACTTTTTAGCATCAAGATAAGTGTTGGCAGGGTTCAAATGTGACAGCTCGGAGAACGTAAGCTCCTTTTGTGCATTTTACATTTTGGTGCCTTGTGTAATTTTAATCCATCAAATGCTTTTCTTCATGGAGATGTTATTGCTGTATCGTCTGGAATGTTTTAATTTCTATCTTCATGGAGACCAAACAAAGCTAAGTTACAGGTCAGATCTGTGGAGAGGCAACCCCGCTCACAGTCAGAATACCTGTTTTTCTAGGTAATTTTGAGCTATAAAACCACCTGTAATTGAATAAATGTAAGCGATAAACTGTAGAGTTGTTTAATGTCATACTGTGGAACATTCCAGGCAGAGCAATGACATATTATCCATAGAAACATGTCCAACCCCCAAACAAAAAGTTACACAGTGCACCTTTAATACTGATGTTGGCATCTTTCAAGTTTATTTTCTAGTAATTCAAAGAAAGAAATGACAGATTTCCATACATAAGTTATACTTGATTTGAAGAGATGTTTTGTTATTATCATGTCACCAATCTCCTATTGACTGGTGAGTAATTTCTGACCAAAATAATAGTTTGTATATATAAATGGACATTGGTAACCCCCTAGATGCCACGTTCTAAATAGGAAGTGAGGATGGGCACACTTCCAGCTCCATCGACTCTGTTTCCAATTGACTTTACATTGAAAAACTGTCAGTCCTCTCTCTGTTAGTGTTTTAAAAATCCATTTTCTTCCAGTATTTTTTATCTCCACTCTCTCGGTCGCCTCTTGAGCCAGATTCAAACTGAACCGTCCAATCATATTTTTTTTTTTTTTCAGTGACATGTGAAACCAAGGAACTCACTGGTCACCTGTCACTTTGAACAAAATCAACTTTCTCTCACTTCAGATCACACAGTATAGCACAGTTTAGTGCTTGTCTCACTGATTCTGCAGAAATCTATGATGTTTTTCAGTCCCTTGTGTTTTTTTTTTCCTTTCTTTTTTTCCTCATAAGCAGTAAGCAGCTATATTTGTTTTGATACAGTCAGACCATGCGAGCCTCTGATTGGCTAATCCACCTGTCAGTCACACCCATCGGAACTCAGGGAGGTATAACCAGTGACCAGACTCACATCTTTGTAAAGTATTGGGAAGTAGTAAATGAGCTGATATCCAAAATGCTCTCCACTTTAGTCATAGAATGGGTTTAAAAAGTGTTCTAAGTGTTTATTTCCTTGACCAATCTTTGAACGTTGTGCTGAGGAGAAGGAGCACAACTTTTACTCCAGCGACTCGGACTTCGACGACGAGGAGCCCAAAAAGTTCCACATTCAGATCCGCCCGGTAACAAGCGGCAACAGGAGCAGTGCAGCCGCTCAGGATCGAGAGCTGAAGGCCACAGTTGGGGCGCTGACTCTGCCTCCAAACAGAGGGAGGGCCCAACAGGTGAGTGTGCTTAGTGATCTCATCTAAATATATTATGAAATCTACAGAGGTGGGTAGTACTTAGCTACATTTACCTGAGTAACTTTTTAAACAAATTGTACTTCTTTTATTCAAACACCATACTTTTACCCCTAATTCAATTATATATTGTACAGTGTAGCAGTACTCTTACTCGAGTTAATGTTACTCCCACTGTGAGTAAATTCACAAGTGACAAAAAGACAATATGAAATCACTTGCACATTGCAGCACTCCTTTAAATATTTATTTTTCCTAATTTTGATAATTTGTCCCATGAAAATACCATATTCTTTGCATTATTTAAGGTTTTGTGTTGTCAAATCACAAAATCACAAATCTGATGTTATGTCTTGACAGTTACTCTTACTTGAATAATTTCTTGTGCCACTACTTTATACTTCTACTTAAGTAATATTATTTTAAAGTAATGTTGTTTTTACTTGAGTACAGAAATCTAATCATGATAAGCTTCACATGTGTATTATGTGTTGTTTCACCATTTCTTTCTTACATTTTAGGCACCAGTCCAAAAACATCTTTCCAGTAAGTCTTCAAAATAGGATATGCATTTTATTATGAGCAAAAACTGACCACATTAAACTAAGTCTCATGTTTTGGATGATTTTAGGAAACTCGAGTGCCACAGGAGGTCGATCAGAGGAGGAGGGTGCGTCACACAGGGGTAAGTTTGAGATACACCAGTCTAACTTTTCTGTGATGCCGATATCAGTACTTAGGCTTTGAGTGTTTTTCTGTTTTATTTAACTGTAGTTAGTAACTGTTTTGCTGCATTATAGGGTCAGTCCACCTCAGTTCACCCAATGAGTTAAACTCTACTTTGTTGAATTTTGATGAAACTTGGTATATTGGTATATAGCCAGAAAAGCCAAAATAAAAAACTTTTATTTGATCGTACCAGTAACCGTAACAGTTTCTGAGATATCACAATTTAATTTTTTCCCTTTTTTGCATGGTCGTCAAATTTCAAATTGCATTTACTCAGCAACTGCTGGTCCAATATCAAAAACCAAGGTATCTCTGGAAAGGGGAAATTAGAAGGAATTTAAATCTGGCATTTACCAGATACACCACCTGACAGACACCATAACAACCATGGTTATGGTGGTTGTCATGTTGGTTGTCATGGTGGTTGTCATGTGGTTGTCTTGGTGGTTGTTATGGTGGTTGTTGTTATGGTGGTGGTTGCTAGGGTAGTTTCTATGGTGGTTGCTATGGTGGTTGTTATGGTTGCTATGGTGGTTGTTATGGTAGTTGCTATGGTGATTGCTATGGTGGGTGTTATGGTTGCTATGGTGGTTGCCATGGTCGTTGCTATGGTGGTTGCTATGGTGGTTGTTATGGTGGTTGTGGTGGTTGCTATGATGGGTGCTATGTTGGTTGCTATGGTGGTTGTTATGGTTGCTATGGTGGTTGCTATGGTGGTTGTTATGGTGGTTGTTACGGTTGCTATGGTGATTGCTATGGTGGTTGTTATGGTAGTTGCTATGGTGATTGCTGTGGTGGTTGTTATGGTGGTTGTGGTGGTTGCTATGGTGGTTGTTATGGTTGCTATGGTGGTTGTCATTGGGGTTGCTATGGTGGTTGTTATGGTGGTTGTCATGGTGGTTGCCATGGTGATTGCTGTGGTGGTTGTTATGGTTTGCTTTGGTGGTTGCGATGGTGGTTGTCATGATGGTTGCTATTGTGGTTGCTATGGTGATTGCTATGGTAGTTGCGATGGTGGTTGTTAGGTGGCTGCTATGGTGGTTGCTATGGTGGTATATGGTGGTTGTTATGGTGGTTATGCATAACAACCACCATGACAACCACCATAGCAACCACCACCATAACAACCACCATGCCAACAACCATAGCAACCACCATGACAACCACCATGACAACCACCATAACAACCATAGCAACCACCATGACAACCACCATGACAACCACCACAGCAATCACCATGACAACCACCATGACAACCACCACAGCAATCACCATGACAACCACCATAGCAACCACCATAACAACCGCCATAACAACCACCATAACACTTGCCATAGCAACCACCATAACAACTGCATAGCAACCACCATAGCAACGACCACAGCAACCACCATGACAGTCACCATGGCAACCACCATGACAAGCACCATAACGACCACCATGCCAACCACAATAACAACTGCCATAGCAACCACCATAGCAACGACCACAGCAACCACCACAACGACCACCATAGCAACCACCATGACAACCACCATAGCAACCACCATGACAACCACCGTGACAACCACCATATCAACGACCACCGTAACAACCTCCATAGCAATTATCATAGCAATTATCATAGCAACCACCATAGCAACCACCATAGCAACCACCATAGCAACCACCATAGCAACCCTGTGGCCAATGTGGCTCTATAGTAGTTGTGGTTTATATGTTGTAAAGTTGAGTTTATTTATGCAGATTAGTAATAGTAATAATACCGATGATAATTTTAATATTAAAATGTTAATGATGAATCAGTTATCAGTTGTTTAATTCTCCCGATGATTGATTAAGAACATTTAACTGAATGCCCATCTATAGTTCCAACTAAATCAGCTCTTTCTGTTCAGAGAGTGTTAAAATAAAGATCAGATTAAAGTCTAATAAAGCCTCAGACAGAGCTGAGCCTTCAGTTAGTATCACACCCCCAGGGAATGCTAATGATATCAGCTGCAAAGTATAAAAAAGTACATATTTTGGTCCAGTGATAAGGAAATAGAATGTATAAAAATGAGTTATTGCGGGGTGAGATTTTGATATAAATATATAATAAATGACTTGTAGCATTTTTTTTATATTGAGCACTTTTGAGTATTGAGTACTTTAGCGGTCATTTTTACATTGCTTTTTGGAACTATAGCATCTCAAAATGTTTACTCATGAGCGTTCAACTCATTTTTGCCCAATCCAAATGTAAATACATGGGCGAACAAAATCTCACATGATCATTTTCCCCATGTTTGCACGATCTTGTGGCATATTGGTCTCGCCAGATCTTGTAGTATAATATCTTGAGGTGCTGTATGTGTAAAGCTCACCTGTTACTGTCTTCTTCAAGGATTAGGTCTGATTTTGATCTTGTTCTGGCATATTGCCCAGTCCTAGTAGCAGTTGTTGATTCTGCTACTGTAGGATTCCCCTGTTTTATGTGCTTAGCTCCAGTGACCCATTTATCTGTCCTCTACTCGACCCTCTGCACTGGGCTGGCTCCCATTAGTCACATGACCCTCTCTGCAAATGTTTTATTACGGCTCCTTTTCTCACTAAGAGGGTTTGAATACAGAAGGAGGGGACTGTGCTTTGAAATCTAAAACTATTTGTGCTAAAAAGAGAAGAGGAAGGTGGGGTTCTGGCAAATAGGATAGTCACAACATTGCTAGGATTCATAATTTCACATGGAAGGGGCCTATGCGTGATTGTTTATTTACTACTACTACTTACTTAGAAGTTTTATTACCATTCTTATATTTTTTACTCTTTGTTATTGTAATATAATGTGATGTGTGAGCTACTGTGTCCAAGTAATTTCCCCTGTGGATCAATAAACGCTGTCTAAATCTAAGCATAAGTATAAGTGCACTGTGTAATTTTCCTGGTGGAGAATTCTTTAACCTGCTTGTCTCCATGGAGATGTTATTGCATTGCCTGGAATGTTTTGGTGTATGGCATTAAACTTATCTATGTTGCATCTATTCATTTACAGGTGTTTTACCTTTGAAATAAAATAAATTTAAAAACCTGTATTCTTACTGTGAGTGGGCTCGCCTCTCCATAGATCTGACTTATACATTGGCCCTATGACACTACCAGCTTGTGCCAATGGAGAAACATAAGTTTTTAGCATCACAATCCATTCAAAACAATAATATCCATGGAAACAAGAAGAAGGCAGTGAACCCTCCACCCGAAACATTTTAGTGCACCTTTAAACTTGTATTTTATTGAATGTTTTTATTGAATGATAAACATTTTGTAATATTACTTTATTTTACATGAGATTTGTGCCCCGTAATTTCTGATATGAATCTTTTTTTGTTTTCACAGATGGAGACCTGGATGGACTCAGGAGGTCCACGTCCAGCCCTGACCACAGCAGGTGTGAAACAACTCATTCATTGAATTTATTTTAGAATTAACTACCGTACTTAAAGTTTTCACTTTTTTAAGCCAGTAAAAATCAGATACAGCGCTTTTGAAGGTGCACTGTGTAGCTTACCAGGTGGAGAGTCCGGAATTTTGCCTGGAATTTTTTTTAATATGATAATAATAATAATTCTTAATCTTAATTATCTATGTCCATGTACCAAGCCAGTTTACAGATCTGATTTGTGCAGAGGTGGGTCCACTTACAATAAATACAGTAAATACAATAAATACAATAAATCAGCTCCACCTAGTGCCGTGGCGCCAACCTGGCTAATACTGTGGTACATTCCAGAGAAAAGTAATCTCCATAGCATATCTCCATGGACACAACCAGGTGCTGGACTCTTAGCAGAAAATTTACATAGTGCACCTTTAAATTCCTATTTAACATGTTGCATTTTGAGTTTAACATATTTTATTCTGCATTAAAACCAATCCATTTGTTATATTGGTATAAGAACCTGAATAACAGAGGCACATTATACACAGATGGTTCCATGTAAAGTATTCTGTGGGCTTCTTCTATTTGCATTTCCCCTAAACCAGTGTCTCTCTCCCCTCCATCTCTCCTGTTGTTTCTCTCTCTCCTGTTGTTTCTCTCCCTCCTGTTGTTTCTCTCCCTCCCGTTGTTTTCCGCGCCTCAGGTTGAGTTCTTCTGCGTCTGTGTCTGACAGTCTGTTTGGACCTCCTCTGGACTCAGCCCTAAAGTCCAAGAGCTGTGAGGGGAGAGAGCAGCTCAGAGGAAACAGCGTGTTTGGAGACACTGAATGTAAGACTGCTAGTATATAGAAGAATTTAACTTTGTCTCATGAAGTATTATAAGAATATTCTCTACACATGTCCAATGTGATGTACTTGCAGTTTTTTTCTTGCTATTTTCTCCAATTATAGTAACATATTAAGAAACAACACATGCAATTATTTACGAGTAAACTTGCTGGTAAAAAGGTTGTAGCTCATTCACCAAATATGCTTTACAATTTAGAGTCAATATTTATTCTAATAATCAAATAAAGTTAAGTTATTTTAAGTCACAATGCTGAAATATTCTATGCATTATTCTTAATTGTCCTAATTAGGATTGTACTGATTATGCAGAATATTTTGCTGGATCTAAAAACTGATTTAGTGAGACTTACTTATTGGCCACTATTAAGTCAGAATATCTCAAAAATATTTACAATGTTATTTATTCAATGTTGTATAGTTACTAGAAGAATAAATACTAGTAAAACAAAATCTGCAAATGTAAGCAATTTTATAAATTGCAGATGACCGTAAGAGGGTGGATACGAAATGATTCCCTTTCAGCACCGTCCTCTGACAGTCAGTAGAGATTAAAAAAGACCCTGTAGTTTTGGTACTGAAAAAGCTACATTCATAAATCTCTAGTTAGCGTTTTAGTATTTTCCACAGTTTTCTTTGTTCTAGCCCTTTTAATACGTGTCTGTTTCTTTCCTCAGACGCTGCCTTCTCCTCTGACTCCTCATCTCCTGAAAACGTTGAGGACTCTGGTCTGGACTCTCCTTCTCATCAGGCACTGGGGCCCTCGCCTGAACCGGGGCAGGGCTGGGCGGCGTGGCCTCCCGCCCCCCCGAGCATGGACCAAACCCGGGGTCGCTCCTCTGACCCTTTCCTCTCCGCCTTCCGGGACCCCTCTCCTGGACCCGCCCGCCCCCGTTTCCACGACGATCGGGGTGTGGTCGGCGCCCTCCTCTCGTCCGACCCGAGTCCCGCCGGAAAACGATCAGACCTCGATGCGTTTTCCGAACCTGCCCACCCCGGAAATGGAGAACTCCGTGTGGAACTGTAAGCATATCCCCCAAGAAGACCCTTTTCTCGCTTTCGAACGAACTGTCAGTCAAGAGACGTTTTCAGACTCTTGGACCCGCCCACCTCCTCGCTCAGCCAATCAGGAGATACGAGGAGATCCTTTCGCCGCTATCGACAGTAAAATACAATCGAATAAAACTCCCTCCTCTTCTTCTTCTTCTTCAAGTCATCGCAAAAAGCAAGACCGAAAACGGGATAGAAGTTTACCTCCTCCTGTTACTTCGGAAGACCCATTTGCGATCACGATGATTGGCAGCCCCACGCACCAATCAGGACTAGCCCCGGGAGCTGGACTGATCCCGCCTCCTGGTGCCATAGCAACCAGTAACAACAATAGATCAGGAGTGGACGCAACTTTGCAAGCTAAAAAAGAAATTTCACATTGGAATTCTGTGCATAATCCCTTCAACGATGGGGTTCCAAGTGCAGTGGTTTTAACAAGCTCCAAGCCACATGATAAAACAGGAAGCAGTGGGCAAAAGGAGGGAGCAGGAGGAGGAGAGAGGAGGAAGCACCGATCGTCGGAGAGTGAACCGCGTAGAAATGGGCCCCCCCTCACCAGACACTCCGGACCACAGGAGGACCTCTGCTTCTCCACAGACAAAGACCAGGACTGTCTCGATATCAGCCAGCCCTGCAGCCTCGGGTCACATAAAGGTAGAGAAGATGGATAAAAAGTTAAAGATGCACTGTGTAACTTTTCTGGTGAAGGGTTTGTGCCTGCCTGTCTCCATGGAGATGTTGTTGCTTTGCCTGAAATGTTCCAGTCTACTAGTATATCTTCATGGAGACAGGCAGGTCATGTCTGTGGAGAGGTGACCACATTCACTGAGAGAATGCATGTGTTTTGTATTTTTGAGCAATAAATTTAATATTTAAATCTAAGATATAATTTTAATGCCAAACTGTGGAGAACTGTGGACAGATACTCCTTAAAAGTTGTGCTATGTAACCTTTCCGAAGAAGGCTCTGTCCCTACTTGTCTCCATGGAGATGTTATTGCAAAAGGTCATTTTTTACCTAACCCATGAATAAGCCCAACTGAATAAATTCAAGATAGGTTAATTTATGACATACTGTGGAATAGTTATTTAAATGCTTCAAAATATTTTCACTGAACTTAGTTTTTTTTTAACTTAAGGCTCAAAGCACAAATACCGTCAGGAGCCACCAGAGGGCGTCACTGCTCCTTCAGCCCGAGTGACCCGCGCCAAAAGAACCTCTGGGCGACTCAGCGGCTCAGAGAGAGTGAGTCACACTTTATATATACAAACATGATTCACAAAAATACGAGATTTACAAATGTAACTATGGTTCTATGAATCCTGGATGGTCTCCAGAGGGCAGCACTGAACCCATTCTGTTAAATCAGCTTTTTACACTTAGAAAACCCATGAATAGCTGTGTCTTTTAAATAGCTGCTCTCCCAGTTGATACACGATACACTGATACAGTCTTGTGTCCAAAGAAAAGGTGCAGAAATAACTCGTGATATTAAGTTTTAAAACACAAAATACCAATCCAAAAAGCATTTACCCCCAACAGATTATACTCATAATGTCTTCATTTTGTACATGAATTCCCTTTTCTCTCTCTGTTGTTCCAGTCTCGTTCTCTGTGCTCCTCGCCCCTCCCTGACCCCAGCCCCTCCCTCACCTCCTCCTCCTCCTCCAGCCCCAGTGAGTGGGGTCCCCAGACCAGAGAGGGAGAGTGGGGAACCCAGACCAGAGGGGGGGAGTGGGGGGAGAACCCCCGAGCCCCCAGCCCGGGCAGAGGACAGGTGTCGCCCCTGCCCTGTCAGCACCAGGACCACCTCCCAAGACAATGTAAAACTCTTTATCTAATTAATAACATGGATATGAACATGTGTACGTGCAGAATAAAAAGTGAATTGTGTATTTTTTACAGTGCACCTGTCTCGGGGTCCCAGTCCGATCTCCCTCAGCACACAGGAGGCGTGGCCTGTAGCCGCCGCCATCACTGAGTACATCAACGCATACTTTAAAGGAGGACAAAGCAACCGGTATTTTATATTTGATACAAAATAACTGTTACTAATCGACTATTAAAATAACAATTGACTATTATATTAATCTTTAATTGTTATCTGAACGATACGGACTCTAAAACATGTCACAAAATGTTTTATCACAAAAACAGCAGCAGTATTTAAACAAATTTACCAATAAATAATTTACTTTATTTGTAAATATTCTTTATTATAGAAGCCTTAAATCAGCATATATTATGTTTATCTGATTACAAATCTCATGGTACTATAGAAATATTTTTATCCTTTGATTGAATTGATTCACTGTACCTGCTCCCCATCAATCCTGAGTACTTCCGTGTCTGTCTCCTTCAGTTGTCTGGTGAAGATCACGGGGGACCTCACCATGTCCTTTCCAGCTGGAATCACTCGAATCTTCAGCGCTCACCCAAACGTCCCTGTGCTCAGCTTCAGACTCCTCCACATCTCTCGAATCGACCACTTCCTCCCCAATCAGAAACTGCTCTTCAGGTCAGCTGACAAGTTAACTTATACTGTTATTTTAAAACAACAGTATGTAACTTTCTGGAGGTGGGACGTAAGCTGCATGATTCCACAGAAATAAAAAGTTAAAATCATACTCTGGGACATTCTTTATGGAGATAGATGTGCTTTTGGCCATTCTGTGGAATATTATAGCTCAAGGAACAACATTTCCATGGAAACAAGTAGGTCTAGATGACACAAGCCCACTCAGAGTAAGGATGCAAGTTTTTATTTAGGTCTATTTAGCTAAAAAGTGACACATTGTTATTAGCATTACCGTGAAAGCAAAACTCCGCTCTGGCCTAAAAGCACTTGTGAACTTATCAGTGATTAATTAGGATTTGTTAGGAAAGTAAGGAATAACTTTGCATCACTGCAAACCATTTAAAAAATGTTCACATTTTTGAAACGGTAAAACTCAGGGACAGTACATTTAATGTTGATTTTTAGGTTTATAATGTCCTTGTTGTATTTCTACAGTGACCCTTCTCAGAGTGACCCAGAGACTAGAGACTTCTGGTTCAACATGCAGGCTCTACAGGTGCATCTGCAGAGGGAGGCGGAGCTCAACCCCCAGGCCTCATATTACAACGTGGCTCTCATTAAATACCAGGTAACACACTCAGATATGTTAGTATTATACTCTAGTCTCAGTTTGTGCACTATATAAATCCAATACATTGTTGTTTTTATATTTATTTTACTCAATAATAACTGTAATTTAATAAACAGAAATAGACTTAGACAAACTTTATTGATCCACAAGAGAAATTACTTGGAACAGTAGCTCATACATCACAATATAATATAATGACAAAGAGAAAAAAATAGAAATGGTAATAATATAATAGCGAGACAAGAGACAGGTGTCAAATAAGGCATAATTATATCAACGTGCATGTACAAGTAAAAATCAAATTAAATGGAAATAAGTAATAAAAATGTCGATTAACCTTCATCTTCAGTACACTAATCGACTCATACTCTGTTCCTTGTATCTCTTGTTCAGGTCTTCTTCTCAGGACCCCGGCCGTGCCCCCCTCCTCCTCTCCGCAGAGTGCCAGCGCAGTGGCACAGTGACTCGTGTGTCTCTGGATTATCACTGCTGCCCGGCCACTGCCCCCTCCACTCAGCTCACCGCCGTCCAGGTCCTCCTCCCTCTGGACCACACCGCCACAGACCTGCAGTGCCAGCCCCCGGCCTCATGGTGAGACTGAGGAGCTCTGTCTCTGTGATCTGCTCCATGTTACATTGTGTATTACCTCATGTACAGTGTGTTATTACTGTCGTGGTCATGCAGGTGTCTGTGTGTAGTGGCCACTTGCACTAGAGCCCATTGAGTGTGAGTCATGTAGATTTAAATGTAGGGTAAAGGAGACATGTTATGAAACGATAAAACTAATTATGAAGGATGTGCTACCAAGATTCTACATCATATCTCGAGTGATAAACAACTGTCTTTATTTGAAATGGTCCAGTCGGAGCCATTGATTTTTATAGCACAAAATCTCTGCTTGAATCTTGTATCATTCAGTCTTAAAAAATTACTTCTTTTACCTCAAATACATACGTGTTGAGTGCATCACTTATTGAGTGAACAGAGGTGAGTGGTTTCTCAGTGTTCTGCGTTTTTTGTTTGTTTTTTTCTCATAAGCTGCCATGGTTTTTTATACTGTTTGGCTGGTTATTCCACCTGTCAATCACTAGGGCTAGGTATCATTAATACGTTGCCGATATGATACGTACCACGATACATAGGCCACAATTCCATACAGTGTACCTTCAGTTTGATACGATATATTTCAAATCGATTTGAGGCGGTTAAATAAAAAATAAAGGCTAAATCATGGTTGTAATACTACACTCTTTGTTAAATTACTTCTTGTGCAAAGTTCATATGAAACACAAACATTTTAATCATCAAAACAGTGAAAATGTCAAATGTGTTGCATAAACGAGTTTCCTTCCTCTGAACAAAATAATTTAGTAAAATATATCAAAAAATAATCTTGGTGATATATGGATACAGCAGCCCACGATATCAATACTGTATCATCACATTAAACGATAAGATATATCGATATTTCAATTTTTTTGCACACCCCTATCAATCACACTCAGAAATAGAGACAGGATACAGTTTCAGACCCGTGTGTCTTAAAGCATTGGTCTGAGCTTGGCCCTGTGCAAAGTCTATATATTTATTATTAAAATGAAGGTCAATAACAATAATAAATAATAAATATTAATCAATAATAAATCCTTATTGGAAAATAGAAATTGTCATTCTCAAATTTGTTTGTGCAGTCACCATTTGTTAGCCATTTTCTTATTTTGTGAATGAGTTTGTTGTATGAGTGAAGTGAACTAATTGAATATTTTTCTGTTACAAACTGACTCAAGTTTGATAAACGTTAAATTCTCATATGTTTTTCTTCCTTTGTTCAGGAACTCAGAGGAGAGGAGACTTCTGTGGAAACTGCCAAATCTGTCCCCCACCAACCACAGCAAAGGTCAGAGCTCTGTCCACTGTTTAATTCTCTATAACCCAGCACAATATTACACTCCCCCTTTACTTATACAATATATTCTATTATACATTACTGATTTACTTAGTTACTTTTGTGGAAGATCCTAATCATTTTAAAAGGTTTTACAAGCATGTGCTCCTTTTAGTCGTTTAACTGATACGCAGGGCATCAGCCAAGAATTTCTTTAGTCCACTACAGCCCTATTTATATGTTTAACCCCTCCTCCTCCCCTCAGGCTCTGGTACCCTGTGTGCGAGCTGGCAGTGTCTGGAGGCTCCGCGGGGCCCGGCTCCCAGCCTGGCCGTGCAGTTCGTGGGCTCCGGGGCCTCTCTCTCTGGGATGGACCTGGAGCTGGTGGGGAGCAGGTACCGGATGTCACTCATCAAGAAGAGATTCGCAACAGGTCAGTTATAATTCAGTGTAAAGCAGGTTCATTTGTAGAGCTCAGTTTGTACGCAAAAAACTGGGTGAAAGAAGACAGACATTAAAGGTGCATTGTGTAACTTTTCTGTTGGAGGGTCTGTCAAGTCCTTTTCTCTGTGGAAATGTAATTGCTTTGTCTGGAATGTTTCACAGTATGGCATTAAACCTTTCTATCTTCATGGAGACCAAACCAGACCAAATTACAGGTCAGATCTGTGGAGAGACAACCCCGCTCACAGTCAGAATGCCTGTTTTTCTAGGCATTTTAAAGCTATAAAACCACCTGTAATTGAGTAAATGTAAGGTTTTAGGCAGAGTATTGGCCTCTCCACCAGAAAAGTTACACAACACACCATTAAAATCACAATGCAGACAGATATATTGTAAAAGCATCTAATTATAAAGCATTTTTGTCCTCCTTAGCAGGCTAATAACTCCGCTGTAGCCTCTTAAAGTTGCGAAAAGTCTTCATAAACTCTTTGTGGTGAATAATTAGGATGCTCTGAATGCATAAGAAAAGTGAGGAATAACTTTGAACCACTGCAAAGAGTTTTAACATAAGTAGCTCTGTCTGTAGAATTTAACAACACAAAAATCTGGTACAGTTCTTTGAAACAAGGTGAGCTATATAACTTTTGTGGTCTAGAATTGGCATCTTCGTGTTTGTTTGCCTGGAATATTCCTCAGTATGCTTTGAAACGTATCTATCTCCATGGAGACAAGCTGATGACGCAACCAGACCAAGTTACACATCAGATTTGTGGAGAAATTTATACATTTTATATACAACACTGTAAAATATTCCAGGCAAAGCGATAATCTCCATGGAAACGAGCAGACAAAAGTTGCATAGTACACCTTTAAATGTACTTTTGCTATTTCTTAACGTAAACAAATTTGCTGTCATGAATAAAACATATATTTGACTTCTTATTTTTTGTATATTGTGTGTTAACAGGGAAGTACATGGCTGGATGCTCGCTCTAAAGGCTCACTGAGCCCCCTGCTGGACGGTCAGAGCACTGCACAAACTTTACACTGAAGACGCCGTGCACTTCTACTGAGACCAAGCATTTCCTCAATTATCTCTACTCTTATTTAAACCTGTGTTGTATCCGTCTGTACTTCTGCCTCCTCAAAGCTGTTCTGTAAAATCCATATGTAGAAGTTATTTGTTTTGTATTAAATCAGATATCTGTGCCTTTGTATTAAGGTTATGTCCACATTACTGCATTTTCATTTGAAAACTTTGGGCGGTTGAATCCTTCTAGGACTGGAAATAACTATTAAAATAATCTTTACATTTTGATAATTGTTAACGGGACTAGACAGACTCAAACACATACCAAAAAAACTTTTATAACATCATCATTATAAGGTCAAAATGGCAAAAATTCATAAATGATGTCCTATTTTCATCAATAATACACTTTATCTGTAAATATTTTCGATTTGAAACTTTCAGTCACCATATTTCAAACTTTATTTAGGTAAAATATATTCCAAAAAGTCTAAATATACAATCTAATGTTAGCTGGAGCCCTATATCCTGTTAAAGGTGTATAACATTTTGGTTGGGGGTCCGTCACCTGCTTGTTTCTACGGAGATATCACTGCTCTGCCTGGAATGTTCCACAGTATGACTTTAAACTGCTCCACCTTACATTTGTTCAATTACAGGTGGTTTTATAGCTCAAAAATACCTAGAAAAACAAGGATTCTGACTGTGAGCGGGGTCGCCTCTCCACAGATCTGACCTGTAACTTCGGTCTAGTTTGGTCTCCATGAGGACAGAAAGGTTTAATTGTGTTATACTGTGAAACATTCCAGACAAAGCAGCAACATCTCCATGGAGAAAAGCATTTAACAGACCCTCCACCAGAAAAGTTACACAACGCACCTTTAAAGTAGCGAGACATGCCTACAATTTCCAAACTTTTTCGACTATAACCAACTCAGATGTTTTTAAATAATACTTTTAAAAATACAGTTTTGATTTGAAAATGCGTCAGCGTGAACATAACCCAGAGAATAGGGTCTGTAATGTCAAAAACACTGGATGATTTAACCTGAACTCAATAAAAATAAGTTGCCATTGTAAGTAGTATTTTTTAATTATGTACATACTATTTAAAAGATGTGGGTAGATTTGAGCTGTTTGTACAATTGTTTGTGAAGTTTTTGTTTGATAAATAATAAAAATAAATAAAAACAACTCACACTTTTTGGTTTACAGTTTATTACATGACGAAGTACAAAATACAGCTTAACTATGCATTTATTTAAACGTACATGTCGTCCCTCTTTAGCCTAGAGTGTAATCCAAAAATGCACAAAAATAACTATACTTGTAAGAACCAAAAACCTATAATAAAAAATATTCAAAATTCTAGACAGCTTTACAAAACGAGTAGTACACATAGAAAGTACTGTATCCAAAGAAGGCAGATTACTGTGACAGCCAGGCACGCTTTACGAGATATAAAACAAGGTTATTTCATAGCTAAAACAAAAAACGGGATCAGACAGAAATTAGTTGAACCAATTTAGATATTTTAAGTTGCTTTTTATAAATACAAATTCTCAGTTTTTGTTTTAAATCCAAGAATATTCTCATACATCAAACAGCTGATTGGTTCGTATCAGTCTATAATCAATTACAATTCATTTCCATTTCTGACAACAGAAAAAAATAATAATAAATCAGGCCACAAACACATTCTACGTTTCATATAAAGATAGATTTTATAGTTATATTTGTTTTAATGGACAGATAAACCACATCCACTCTTTGCAGATGTGAAGATTGCAGACAAGGTAACACACATACTTTGTCTTTTTAAATATAAAACCTGGAATAGAGGTGGGAGATATGATCAATGATTTTTTTAAATTAATTAATTTATTTATTTATTTATTTGCACAATCGCAAATGACAATGACAATATTATAGGAAAAATGTGCTAAAAATCCTGGAAATTTTGTAGCTCAGGTTTAATTAATGCACAAAATGTAAACGGACCATAAAATTGACCAAAAAAGGTGCAGAAATGTCAGTTTATATTCTTATTTCAAAGTGTGCAGCATTTTCAATAGATTTTATATTTATAAAAACATAAAGCTGATACTTTGCAACTGATGTTATCAACATTCTTTCGGGGTTGAATGCTAACTGTAGGCACTGCTCTGTCAAAGGCTTTTTTTTTTTAACTCAAGTTAGACTTTAATCTGGGCTTTGTTTTAACACAATCTGATCAGAAATAACAGTTTAAGACCTAGATTTTAGATAGACAGTTTAGTCACTCTCACCTTTATTGTGGAAAATCAAACTCCTAAATGAGACTTAACGCTTCAAACTCCTTAAAAATGTGTTGTTTGAATACATTTTTTTATTTGTTCTCAATCTTATCTGAAATTTGATCCACAAACACATCAGGCTGCGTTTACTAATGTGCGCATTTGGTCACCATGGCAACTACTGAACATTCTGCAGTAAACATACGTGCTGCAAAGTCTCAATATTCAATTTTTTTATATCTCCAAAACATTTATGCGTATATCTCCCACCTCTAGACTAGAACCAAGTAACCAAGCAGTTTTTGGTTGTCACCTATAGAAAGCTCTTACATTAGTGCGTTTGAAATATTTGACCATTTAAAGGCTTATTTTCCAGTTTAAAGATCTCATGTAATCAAAGACGTTACTGCTACACTTGTACTGTTTATAATAAAGATTTGATAGTTTTGCTGAATTGAGTTTTTGAAAACTATTTACACCAAAAACAAAGGACTTTTTCCAAACTTTTCCAATGGCTACATTTTCAACACTCGCCTAATGTCATTTGAGCTAAAGGAGCACAGCATAGAAATCCATTGAGGTATTATAAGCACTGATGTCTAACAGGGTCCAAGCAACAGACTGCAGTTCTGAGCAGGTTTCCACTGGAGCGGTGCATTGTGGGTAAGGTCAGTAGAGCATGTAGATGTATTTTTATAGGGAGAAAGTGATACCAAATAAGGGCAAAGCTGAGGTAACTCCTAATTACTGAAGCAAAGAGTGTACTGAAACATAACTGGATATTACTGTGTACAGTTTTGCAGTAACCTTAGCTCTATCTCGCAATTCTTAAGACATAGTGGCTCTATTAACTGACTTAGTAAACCAATTAAAGAAGCACTATGTAACTTTTCTAGTGAAGGATTAGCCACTGACTCGTCTCCATGGAGAGGTTGTTGTTTTGCCTGGAATATTCCACAGTATCTCATAAACCAAGGTTAGGTCTGTAGAGAGGTAAGTATGCGTGTTTATACAGGTCTTTTTTTGTAATTGACCTGTAATTAAATAAATGCAAGCTGGATGAGTTTAATGCCATACTGTGGAATATTGAAAGCAACACACTCGCATCACACAGAGACGAGACGGTGGCAAACACACTACCAGAAACCAGAAGTTACACATATAAATTCAAGGCATAAATATGTAGTGAAGTTTTCTGGGTCCAAGTGAAGTCTTGTCATGCATTAATTTGAATAGCTTTATTTCTTTAAAATGGTATATCTGGTACAAAACTGTAATTTTCTGACAAATAGCAATCTTAGTTAAAGGTGCACTGCGCAACTTTTTTGGTGGAGGGTCCCCTACCTACTACCATATTTTTCGAACTATAAGTCGCACTTTTTGTCATGGTTTGGATGGTCCTGAGACTTATATGTTAAAATGTTCACACTGACAGTCGCAATAGGGCGCTCTAGGCTTGTGTACTCCTGTACCACTGTCACTTTGCACTCTACTGCGCATGTCAGTTACAGAAGAAAGAGAAAAAGCCACTGTCCTGTCTGGGATCATGAGTTAATTGCACCGTTACTTCTGTATCACTGACAATTTAAAATTTAAACAAACATAAAGACAACTGAAACCAGCCTGTCAGGATTCAGAAAGGCCAGAATAATTTTAACTGATACTGATGCTGAGTCTGACAACAGCTACACAGAAGAGGAAGTGGTGCTCCATTTACCTCCGAAAGTCGCGGAGTCGCTCAGAAGTGACACGGAGGATGAAGAATTGAATGGATTTAGTGATTTGGAGTGAGATGGAGAGTTTGGTAAACTTGTTCTGTTCTGTTGTTTATGTTATATTTATCTGAAGAACTGTTCATATGTGACATTAACAGCCTGTTGTTCTCTGTTCTATTGTTATTACTAGAACTTGATTTTCAAGATGAAATGTCGGTTCCTGGTCTCTGATTTTATAAAATAAATTTCCCTTCTTCTTACACATTTTTCGTCTGGTGCGACTTACACTCCAGAGCGACTTATAGTTTGAATAATATGGTAGTCTCCATGGAGATGCTACTCCTTTGCCTGGAATGTTCCATGGTATGACATTAAACTGATATGAATGTTTCTATTGCACAAAAATACAATAATTCCTTCTGTGAATAGGGGCTCCTCTCCACAGATCTGAATTGTAATGTAGTGTAGTGCTGTAACCTGTGTATCTCCCTCATGATAGATAGGTTTAATCCATACTGTGGAACATTCTAAACAAAGCAGTAACATTTCTATGAAGACGAGCAGCACTCAACCTTCAACTAGAAATATGACACGGTGCACCTTAAAAACTTTGTGTATTATTTTCAAGAATCAGATTAGATGTGCATTCCCAAGGACAATTACAATATATTTAACCATTTAACAATATTACATCTTCTGCAGTAACATGTAGTACACTCCAGCTTGTATTGAAGTACAGCTGAAGTACAGTTACCTTCCCAGTGCTGCACCAGTGTAAACCTGACCAGAGGAGAGAGGCAGAGGTCCTTTGGGTGAGTTATAGACTGCATGGCTCTAGTTTTAGCTGCGATATTACACCCCACACCTAATCCATAGAAAAAGGTGCTCGTTCCAACATTTTTGAGGTTTAAATCTGATACATTCATACCGCGGTAGAGGCACAGCTGAGGGGTCAAAGGTCATAGGTCATAGACATCTGTTATAGTGGTGGTTTAAGTATCTAAGGCACTCCCAATGACTCTATGGCACGGCTATGTAGATGTACACACGAGACACACGCTCCGAACAAGAAAGTAACTGCACAAACTCATTCACAGTTAACAAAAATAATGACGACTCCCTCTGTGAGTAGAAAAGTTATTCAAAGGGGAGGTTTGACATAGTTGCCCTCTTCTCTATGTACATTACAGAGGCAGAGGGACAAGAGGAGAGCCCAGGTTTGTGGTCAGGTTTTGGGTTGGGTGGGTGCGGAGAGGGGGTGGGTGCAGAAGTGATGGGTGCAGGGGGCTGGGTGGGTGCAGATTATTGGGTGCAGGCTCACATCTCCTGCATTGGGTGGGTGAGTTCGATTCTCTCTCGTTTCACGGCCGGTTCGGTGGGACCTCGGGAGGTGTCAGCGTCACTGCCCATGTCACTCATCTCATCGGAGAAAGATGCATCTGAGGAAAGAGAAAAAGAGAGAAAAAGAGAGAAAAAGAGAGAAAAAGAGAGAGGGAATTAAGATAGAAGTAAAACTGAGCACTGTTTACACGAGAATGCTTGCAGGTAAAAACGACAAAATATTTTATCAGAAGCGCCTTTTGTTTAGACGTTGATGGCATTTTTGGGGCTTAAAAATACAAATATCTGAAACCATCCTCCAGAGTGGAAAAGTTGAATATGCTCTGCTGTTATGTTTCTGTCTACACTGCCCAAGACGCAAAACTCTGGTCAGATCTGCTCACGTCACGCACACGTTTATGTCACATACATACAGTACAAAGAAAAACCATCGGATGGCATGCAAACCCAATCAAATTCCACACACTTTTGCGTCACCGTATGCACACAGATTTCCTACTGAAAACGTTCGTCTAAACGTGGAATAAAAAGTGAAGATGTGACACCACTTTTGCGTCTTCTGTTCAAACAGTGTAACTTTTTATCCAAAAAACTAAAATAAAAGCATGTCTTCTTTATACATTTTAGATGTTTTACTGCACTCAAAAACTTGCAATCTTTTGTTTATTTATTTCATTTGAATTTATTTAACCTTTATTTAATCCTACTGAGAATCTCGTTTTCAGGGGCGTTCTGGCCCCACAGAGGACCCTGTTGTACATGTTTTCAGTCTGTGCAAGCTTTCATTTCCACAAACCTGACTCTTACTCAAACTGGAAAAGGCCTCCTGTTTGTTTCCATGGAAATATTGTTCCTTTGACTATAATCCTCCAGAATATGGCATAAAATTATCCATGGAGAATGTTCCGAAGTACAGTTTTAACTTTCACCTTCAGAACATGACGCAGACGTTTCACTATGACCAGCTTGTCTTCATGGAGATGTTATTACTCTGTCTGGAATGTTCCCCAGATGGCATTAAACTCATCTATCTCCACCAGGACAACTTACAGATCAGATCTATGGACAGGCGACCCCACTCAGAGTAAGACTGCTTGCTTTTAAAGGTGTTTTGTGCAATTAAAACACATGCTGATAACTTATGATTTGAAATAAATTTGTATTCATAGCACAGCCTTCTTGTAGGTTGTAGGTCTTTATACTCTGGTATGAGCTGCTGCATATTGTGTCAGTGCGTTTGATGGGAGAGAAGAGTCTGTGGGATGAACTGAGCTTGTACTTTATAATTAATGGATATGTCACTCAGCCTGAGCAGAGCATTTCACTGTTTTTAAATAACAAAGAGGAACGATAAATCAAAGGAATACATTAAGATGAGCGTTTGATGCCCCCAAACACTGTGGGGCAATTAGAAACCAATATAAGCAAGGTTTTCCACTGTCCACACACTTGGGTCTGGTTTAAATGATAGATATTTAAAATATAATCAGGTACACAGAAGTTTAAAAGCCTTACCTTTTTCCAGTAGGGAGGGCATCATCAAGCTTAGGTCACTGAACTAAAATGAGAAAAAAAGGAAAAAAAAATATATATAAACTTAATAAAAAAAAATATTAATGTTATGACCAAAACGTTTCTCACTGATATGGAACTATGTTGTAATGTATTAAAAGTTGCATGAGAATGGATGCTGCTTCAATATTGCCGTTGTTCAAGTTTGGAAAATTTGTTAAAGTCAAAATCTGGTCTAAATCAACTTCATCAAAAGCTTTGTTAAGTGGCCAGTATCTCGTGGCTAAACGGAGCTGCATGATTTTAGAATTACATCTCATTGTGATTTTCCTGGCATTCATTGTTAGTATCATCTGTAATGTTTTCACATTAGAATTCAGATCACAGTGCACATTTCAAATCTGTCCAGGGGCATTAAAATGTAACAGAAGATGAAATATTAACTGCTACACGAAAAACAGGAATTCAATAAATATTAAAACATGTTTTTAACAGTCTGATCTACAGGGATTTTATAAAAAAGAAGGTAATTTTTGTTTGTTTATAGAGGGCATTTAATTGTATAAATAATTGCAGTTTTTGTAACTTAACAATTGTTGCATTCCAAACTGTGCTTTTGTTTAGTTTGCAAATATAATGCAGCCCTCTATGGGTCACACTGGCTCTGTACCTCTCCCATGACGGCAATGGGCGTCTCCCCGGTCGCCTGGGCAACACGATGCTCCACCAGGTAGAACATGTACTCGTCGTACAGGAGGCGGATCAGGTGGAAGGAGCCGAAGCTTGCGGCGCTGCGGAGAGTCAGGTCCCGGATCACCATCGAACTGTAGGGGGTACCACACACACACACACACACACACACACACACATATACACACACACATACATTCATACATTCATACAAACACACAAACACGCAAACACACAAACACACACAGAGGATTAGTCTGAGCACATACTCCAATGAGAATTTACAGTGTCATCATTTCCACTGGGAGTGGTTTTAGTTACAATAACAACACTATACACATGAGGAGACAAAGTCAGATCATAAAACTTCACTGATCAGTACCTGTAGAAGGACCACTTGAGCAGAAACTGTCGAGCGGCTTTGGGGAAGCTGGGGCTGCCCTGGTGAGGCTTGAGGACCTGAGTGACCACATTATCCAGCCACGAGGCCCATTGGTCCAGAGAGCTCTGCTGCTGCAGCGTCACTTTAAAGTCCTGCTCCAGACGCTTCACCACCGCCTCATCGCACTGACACACCCACGACGCCTGCTCCTGTGACGAAACAAACACACCCATCACAGAGCGAAGGACAGACACCATTCATGGAGAGAAGACTAAAAAGTAAGGCTGCACCGATACCAGTACCGAATATGAATATCAGTGTTAGATCAGGTATCGGGTCCATGATATTGATTCAGCCAATATCTGGTTAGACTCCCAGGAGGTACTACATTAATACAAAGAAATTCTGTTGTGGTTTGGACACATAACAGTTACATAATACAATCAGATACATTTTCTGAGAAATTAACAAAATTAATTTTAAAAAAGCCATTTTCAATCACTACACAGGTCTTAAATAACATCGGATATCAGTAGATACTTATTAAAGTCATAGTATTGATATCAGAACTGAAAAGCTGGATCAGTGGATCCCTACTAAAAAAAAACACTGAAGGTTAAAGAGACAGCTCTGATTTGTTTCAAGTGTATGGGGAAACTATTTATAGGATGGTTAAAAGTGAACATAAGCCAGTTTCTCCTTCTCTACACCTTCAGTGACAGTTACCTGGACATTAGCGAAGTCGACTCTGTTGAGGTCGGAGAGCATCTGGTTGATCTGGGAGGTGTTCTGCAGGACGGCGCGAGCAGCTTGAGCCAAATGGTTTAAACTGGTGTAACGCCTCAAAGTCTGAGCAAAGGCACTCACCACGGCAACCTGCAAATCAAACAATCACTTTATTTACTTTATAAATAGTTATTTGGATGTAGATACTTTCATTACAGGCCCTGGTACGATACTGCGGTTTAAAAGTGCACTGGGTAACTTCATTGCTTTGCCGTCAGTATTCTCTCTGTGTGCACTAGTACATGCACCTATCTTGCATTTATTGAAAATACATGCTTTGTATATTTATGGAAAATTGCTGTACATGGAGGCCTGTGGGCGGCCCTTTGGACAGAATCTTACAGCTAACCGCAAAGAGGGTTGGAATAGGGCCCAGGAGAGATCATAAGTTTACTCAAACATATATGGATGACATTTAAAACTCTTCAGACGGATTTTTAATGAGGGAACAATGTTATAACATGGTTGAAATCTCCAGAAGTACATTTTCCATCTTTTTTTACCTTTGTGCGGATTATTTCATGAGGAAAACTGGTCATGGCGGTGGTCAGCCAGCCTTCAAGACTCTTGGCAAAGTTTCGGATGGCCTGAGTGAGAGTACCTGAGGAGGGAAGGTATCAGAATTATTAAAGTGTATGCACAATGACACTTTTTTTTCTTGAGTGTTATTTAGGGCTGGGCGATTTATCAAATTTTAACCAAGATTCAGTCTAATCATCAATGATATGGTTGTTTTTTTGTTTTTTGTTTTTTATCAGGGGTCTACATCTAATCAATCTGCCAGTAAAAGCATAAGAGAAGAGGAGAAGGAAGAGAAGAGAGAGGACTAGAGGATGGAGAGAGTGTTTTTTGTCATATCCCTCAGCCCTATGTATGTGTGAGTATAATATTTGATAGTTGACACTGACTGGGCACAGGGCGCAGCACATCGGGGATGAGGATCTCCACCAGAGCCTGGTACAGGACGTGGTCACAGCTCCTCATCCACACACGCACAGGCTCAAATTTACACAGAGACACCAGTTTGTCCCTCGGGATCATGCCCTCTGGGTCATCCTCACTGCACAACAAGAAGACAAGCTCATGTTAAAACACAGTATTTTTTGTTATTATTTATGTATTTACTTTATTTATTAAAGGAACTGTATGTAGCCTGTGCTCTTACAGTTTTAAAAAAATGAACTGAACGTGGGTTGCCAGCGCTTTAACCAGCAGATACTTGACATTTGCAAGTTTTTCTCATTCTCCATATATGGACAGCACATACAGCAGCAGCAGAGGCACTGATTCAAGACTGACTGTTGGTGCTGGGGTTTACATACTGACCGTTCAAATTAGAAAGCCCTTTTAGGTTTAAACCAACCGGATTTTAGTATTGAAACTGGCAACCCAAATGAGAGACTCATGTGAGGCTCATTCTGCTTTCTGTCTCGAGATATTATAAAAAATTAAAAAAAACTCTAATAATTAAGAATAAATGATTCCAGATGTTATCAGTAAAAGGAACATCTGATTTGAACATGTCTACCTTGTATCTGGGGACACACTTAGGTCCTGTCTATGGAATTTAAAATCACAATCTGACATACAGCTCCTTCAATGTGTTTATTTATGATATGGGGATGTTTGATTATGGAAACAGAAGTGAAAAAATGCATAGCACACTCAGACGGCTGATGTCCAAAAGCTTTTTTTATTTTTAAATAACAGATTGTGGTCCAAAGCAAGAAAAATATCTGACTTAAGACTTTTTTTTTTTTTTGCCAAAAGTTATTTAAAAATGTAAAAGCTTTTGGACATCGGCCATCTGAGTGTGCTCTGCATTTTTTCACTTTTGTTTTGCTGTTCCTTGCATTTGCACATCTGCAGGAACTTTGGTGTGTGTTTTCTGTTTCATTTGATTATGGAAACAAGTCATTATCACAATTATCTGGTCCATAATTTAAAGTTTTAAATCATAAGTTTCATAAAAAATATACATTTGTACCATTAGCCGAATACTTGCACATACCTAACACCGGTGCTCCCGTCACTAGAGGGCGATGTTGCATACCAAAATGTCTGCCAGAGTTTCTCAATGTAGTGAAACTGGAGGTTCATCACCACATCCAGAGTGGCCTAAAGAAGAGTAAAGAAGGGAGGGAGTGAGGAGGAGAGAAGGGAGGGGTAGAGGAGGAGAGAGGAGAGGAGAAACGGGGGAGGAGGAGTGAAAGAAGAGAGAGCAAGAGGAGAGAAAAATAGGAGGAGAGGGGAGGAGGCAGAAGAAAGAGGGGAGGAGGAAGAAAAGGAGGGAAAAGGGTCAGGGAGAGAGGTGGAAAGAGGGAGGTGGAGGAGAGGGAGAGCAGGAGGGGAGGAGGGGCAAAGAAGGCGAGGAGAGAGGGAGAAGAAGACAGCGAGCGGGGGGAGAGAGGCGAATGGAGGATAAGAGGGGAGAGGAGGAGAGAGGGAGGTGAAGGGAGGAGAGAAAGAGGAGAGGAGAGCAGGAGAGGGAAAGAGGGAGAAGGAGGAGGAGGAGGGGAGGACAAACACACAGAGCTGAGCCATGGTAACGAGACACACAACAAAGTTTCTGGTGCGGCTTCAGAGTGGGCCCTGGGGTGACACAAAGAGGAGCTGCACACATTAATCTCACACTCTACAGGACCAGCTCCGGCTCTTTCACTTTAACTCGCACTTCTACAAAGATCTGATACAAAAGGAAACATAACATTCTTAAAAGGGGTATTTAGTATCGGACTATAACATGTGTGGATCATTATTTATATATAGAATCAAACAGCTTATATCACGTTAACTCTCACTTCTACACAGATCTGAAAAGGAAAGTGCTGGAAGAAGTACTCAGTTGTGTTACATAAGTAAAAGTACAGATAACGGACCCAAAAATTCTTAAGTAAAAGTAAATGTATCACATGAAAAAATCTATGGAAGTAAAAGTGTTAAATGTATCATAAAAAGTAGCATAAAAATGTATTTAAAGAGTAAAAAGTAAAAGTATTTCACTCAGATTTTGAGGTCTTCTAAAGCTTCAAATGTAGTGATTTTGATAAAGATTTGGACTGAATTTTGTTCAGTAGAAACTTAAATTGAATCTGTATTTTTTCCGGCTGTTTTATTGGTATATTTTTGTTTGCTCCAACTACAAATGTTAAAAATAAACCCTCAGCCCTTCAGCAGGTTTCAAACTATCATAGAAAACGCACCTTTTTTCAACTGACATGCACATTTCTTGTTGTTGAGTATCTTATGGTTTTCTATGTTTTTAGTAGTTGTATCGTGTTTCTATTGTGTATTGTGTTGTACTGAGATTGTCCTTGTCTATCCTGTGTTTGTGTACAGCACTTTGGCCAGCTGTAAAGTTTTTAAAGTGCTTTTAAAAATAAAGTTGGTATGGTATAGAAAAATGATTTTACTTTTCAGTCCTGTTAAAAAATATAGTAGAGTAAAAAGTACAGATCCAAATGTAGTGAAGTAAAGGTAAAAGTATGTTGAAATGTACTTAAGCAAAGGACAGATACCTACAATCTACACTTAAATATAGTAATTTAATACATTTACTCTATGTTCCACCACTAAACATTTGTGGATAATTACTTGTTAACAGATTGATCTAAAACAGCTCACAAAAAGAACTGGGCGTCTTCTGTTCAAATCTGAATTAACTGAGAAGTCCTATTTTTTTTTTTTTTTCATAATGACACTTAAACAAGCAGCAGATTTTCATCATTAACTAGTTTCTGTCAATACTTTGGAGCTGATGTCATCAACATTCCCCGGGCGTGTGATGCTAACTGTAGGCTCTGTTCTGTCTGAGGCTTTATTAGACTTTAATCGGAGCTTTATTTGACCATAAAGAACTGACTTAAGGCGAACTACAACAGCCGATTTGTGCTGGTAAACAAATCTCTTACACAGCGCTCTCACCTTTTGTTTAAAATCAAACTCTTGAACGCTCGTATTGATCACAGGCTGCTGAAAATACGAGCCTTAAATTTCCTGAGTTGTCAGACAGTCTTAAAACTTTTTGACAGTGTTTCCATTGTGTCACCATGGTTACTCCTAAACATTCCACCAATACATGATACAGATCCATGTAGAACACCCCCGGCATGATGTCACTGCAAAGTATTGATTGTTCAAACATGACTACGTGACATATTTTAATCCTACACGTATCACTCAAGAGTCTGAGCTTTTGAATAGACAGAAGTGTGTGCAGAGCAGTAGGAGGGGATAGGGGAAATGAAAATTCTCTGAGCACCTGAGGACAACACAGAATTAGTCAAATACACATGATTCAATTTGCAAACAACTTTTAGGGAACATCAATATAACATCGTAAAAACTCCTAAAAGTCAATATGCATAATATGACACTTTGATATTTTTCTATTTCCTACTTCAGGGGTCTACAGCCTTTTTCTTCTGGTGAGCTACTTTAACAAAAAGAAAACGCCAAAAAGCTACTTATTTTTGCAGTCACAAGAAACTGAGCATAGGTGGCGAACACTCCTATACCTATAAAACATAAACCTTTATCCATTTATTAGTGTACAAGTTTAGTTTTTCCAAAATAAAAAAATGGGACATCTCTGTTTTTTGGTGATTGGTAATAATAAAACTGTGAAATGGTGCGTAATTAAGGAAAATTGTTATGTAGAGACCATTCATGACTAACATGTAAGTCAATATAGTCACATTTTCTTGTGTCTTGGTGATTTTTAAACAGCTTTTCTGTATTTTACCAATGACCAATGACAATTTATGCCTCTCATTACTGCTGGCACAGATCAGATTGGTCAAAATAGGGACACATGGGACATTTCTTGTACAAAACGAACAAATCACTGGTTTTGGATAAATCTGCTGTTAGCTCCTGAGCTACAGGTTGGAGACCCCTGTCCTACACTGTAATACTACTTATACACTACTCCTTACAATACTCTTGGTAACTATGTTTTGAATGTATGGCCTTATAAGCATGATTGAGGTTTTGGAGCTGGTTATTTTTAGAAAGCAAACAAGTTAAAAATCAATACATCACTACCTCCACAATTTTATGTGTACAGGTTTATTAAGCCAAAAATATAATATTACTTTAACTACTTTAAAGGTGGACTGTGCAACTTGTCTTCATGTCCCACAGTATGGCCATAACCTTATGAATCTCCATGGAGACTTGCAAGCCAAATTAGATCTGTGGAGAGGCAAGCCCACTCAATAGATGTTTTTTTTAAGATATTAAAAGACACCCTGTAGTTGAATAAATGCAAGACAGATTTGTTTAATGCCATACTGTAGACAAGTTAAACCAAAGCGCTAACATCTCCATAGAGACAAACAAAAAAGTTGCACAATGAACCTTTAAAATGTGCAATGAACTGCCTGGAAATGATTCAAAACATTTAATTACAAGAACAGTTTGACCAGTACTGTATCTTCTTGTTAAAAGTGGTGTTTCCTAGTTATGATTAAACTGTGACCTGATTTAACCCTCTGCCAGTTCCTCTTTCCTGCAGAAGTCAGTGCGATGTATAGATAGGGGTGTGGTACAGACGAGCCACAGCACAGCGCACAAAGACTACACTGTCTAAAGCGTTCTCTCAGAGGCAGCCCAAATACTTTTAAAGCCGTCAAAGCAAACAAGAAAGAAAGAGAGAGATCGCTACGACAACAGGGTGAATTCTGCTGCCCCCCCACCACACACACACACACACACACACACATACACACACAAACACATACTTTGTACTTTCTTTAAATGGTGCTTCCAAGTGCGTTCAAAGCCGTATGTAGTCAGATGATATTTTGTTTTGATGTAAACCTATAAAACTTCAATATTATCTATACGTTTCAGCTTTCTGTTACATGCAACATTTTTGATTTTTCTAGTTTAAAAAGATATGATATTCTGTTTTAAATTGTTAATCGCTATGGCGACAGTCCAATTTTTCCAGCTTCCTGTTATATTAAATGTTTTGAGCAGTTTTTTGTATTTAAAAATATGTAGAAGTTTGTTCCAATTGTTAATCGCAATGGTAACAGTCCTATTTTTTTCTTTATTACATCCTGTTACATGTAATATTTTGAGCATTTTTTTCAAAAGATAAAATATTTTGTTTTAGCTTGTTACTCGCTATGGCAACAGTCCTATTTTTTTCTCACTTCCTGTTATACGTGACCATTGTGGGCACTTCACCATTCAAAAGATATAATAGTTTAACTAGTTAATCACCATGGCAACAGTCCTAATTCTTCATCACTCTGAAATACCACCTCTGTCATTAACACGGCGCGTCTGTATCTGGCAGGACACACACTTGCTGCTGGATCAGGTTACACAGCAGCAGTGGAGGCTTTAATCACATGATATGTTTTTGCTTCCTCTTCAGCTGTCGCCATGGCAACCTTGTTTACGGTTGCCCCCAGCAACAGGTCAAACACAGAAAACCAAAACAAAAAAGAGAATTCCCCATTCCCTCCGAACGACAGGGTTTTGCCGCCACAGAAAAAAAACAAAAAAACATGTCCCTTCTAAAAGGGGAGAGAAAGGACAGACTGTTGAAAAGACTGACCCTTAATCAAGTCCAAAAAATATATGTATTTGTTCTTTGATGTTTTATGAGAAGACTAAAAATAGAACTTCATTAATTGCACAGATGGGTTCAGGATAATCAGGCATTAGAATCACAGTGGCACAGCATTAATACAGAGAAGAATGTTGGAATAATGGCAGTGATTATGTGTGTGTGTTCTTAGTGAGAGGAAACTTAAAATTTAGCTGTTTCATAATTTAAGAAAAATCAACCAACCATGAGTCATCTCGCCCGTGTAAAAGTTTTACAAGACATACACTACCAGTCAACTTTTGGACACACCCTCTCATTGAATATTTGTTTAAATATGTTTCTACATTTCTACATTTTATATATGTACAGAAGATATCAAATATATGAAGTAAAACATATACAATTATGTAGCAAAGAAAAAAAAGTAGGTAAAACGCTTTAAATTTACACTACGTAACTCTTCCAATGGATGGTCTGCCCGGAATGTCCCACAGTATGGTGTCTATCGTGCATTTATTCAGTTACAGGCATTTATATTTCTAAATAAAATTCTGCACCTGTTTGTCCCCATAGCAATAGACAGAATTAACGCCATACTGTGCAACATTCCAAGCAAGGCAGTATCTCCATGGAGACAAAGATGCAGACCTTCCACCAAAGAAGTGACATAGTGCATCTTTAACTGCACTGCCTGAAGTTTACTTTGCCTTCTTTCGCTTTAAAATGACGTATCTTCCTGCATGCTGTGTGTTGCTACGGTTACCTTGCCCGTCAGTGGATTTAACATACAAAGCCATGTTAAATCCAGGTACATGTATGATAATTATACTGCAGATTTAGGGTAAAAGGAGCACTATGTAACTTGACAGGGGCCACTTTCTTGTATCCATGGAGATGTTAATGGTTTGCCTAAAACGCTCCATGTAGACAGGTAGACACAAACCTAAGTTACAGGTCAGATCTGTGGAAAGCCAACTCCACTCACAGTAATAATAAAGACATTCCAGGCAAAGCAAATATTCATATTTTGCAGTGACATCACGCTGGGGGTGTTCTACATGTATCTCTATGGTGGAATGTTAATACGCACATTAGTAAGACGTTTTTAGAAGTTTTAATCTCAAGAAAAAATACAAAATTGATTTAAACAACACATTTTCAGAAGCCTGTGATCAACACAAGCGCTCACTGTCCTATTTAAGTGTTTGGTTTTCAGCAAAAAAAGGTGATTAACTGAAAAACTGTTGGCTAATAGTTATTTAGCTTGTGACAGTAATTTTATGTGTGAGAGACTGAGACAAATCATCTCAACTGTTGTAGTTCCAACTAAATAAACTCTTTCTGGTCAGATTGTGTGAAAATAAAGCTCAGATCAATGTCTAACAAGCTTCAGAAACAGCACATTTTCCCATCAATACCTCCATGGAGGCAGCAGATCCCTCACCAGAAAAGTTCCACAGTGCACCTTTAATCCATCCTTTCCTTACGTGTTAATATGTCACTGTTCACTCTCAAAAAGAATGAAAAAACACACAACGTGGCGACGCAGGCTTGACAGAAATGCGCAGGAGGACAAAGCCATCACCCGTGTGCCCGACCACAGACAAGGTATTACAAAGAGGCGAGGGGAGGCCCGCACAAAGACAGCGCCGAGTCCAGCCCGCTCCAAAGGTTAATTGGCATGTCTTGAAAGGCGCACCACGATGAAAAGGCTCCAGGAACAAAGCGCGCGTGCAGAGGCTGGACAAGCAGGGCCACGGATAATATGATAAAGCCAGAGTAGTGGTGCCTTAATCACAGCCGCTCTCCACACTCAAAAGACCCAAATTTTAATGTCCAATATTATTCCTGCTATTCTCGGGGCAGCAGGGGTCTTCTTCTGCCCACTCGTATCCATTGTCCTGGCCGAGGGGGGTTATTCATGTTACGCAACACATTCAAATGACTTTATTATGAAATACGAGGTGGTTTTTCAAATGTTCTTTTTGACATGTGCCTAATATGTCCGTTTCAGTTTTTCGCTTTGAGTTTTCTGAGCGTAAAATAAGTGACACTTGTTGAATGTAATGTGAAAAAGGTTCTGGCACAAATTTTTGAGAGTTTGAGAGTTTTTAGCAGTAAAATCATGTGGTGAGAGCAGACTTTGGAGACTTTTGGAGCAAATGTTTGTTTTAAACTTGTATGTAATTAGATAAAAAAATATATATATTAAATAAAAAGGAGATTAATCAGGGAAAAAATATATTACTTTTTTGGCATATTATAATCACCCATCTCTAATAAAAAGTATAAAAATATATACAAGTTAAATTATAAAATGATTCAAATACTTTGAAAAAAACTGGTATGCTTAATTGAGTAGAATAATATAAGTAAAAGAAAATAAAAATAAAAGCTAATACTACAATAAGTGACATTTAAAAGGCCCAAATTATGCTATTTTGGGATCTATGTTATAATTTCTTCATCAAAAACTTACCAAGAATTGTGCTTTGTTTCATTCACACATGTTTAACACACAAACACTGCATATTTAAGCTGAGTTCTTCTCTCAAACAGAAAACACTCTGTTCCACCTTGTGATGTCATGTGGTAATACAGGAAGTAGTCCACTGTGCTTTTAAACTCTACACATTTTCACTAGAATCATTTGGATAATTAAAACTTTGGAATTGTCTATGGGCTGAACAAAAGGAAAATTACCGCTTCATGACATCACAACGTGGAACAGAACATTCTGAACTTTGGAGATATGGACAGACTAATAATAAAAGATTACTCAAACATATGTGAATGAAACAAAACACAAATATATTTAAAATGAGGTAACAGCATTATGACAGGACTTAAAGCTCAGAGTCAGTTTTACATAATATAAGACTTTAAATACTTCTTAAATTTGTGCTGTGGAACAGAGATCATTATATTAAATTCTCTTAAACCAAGGTGTGCTGGAGAAAAACATTTTTAATTAGCTAATAGCTGCAGGTTATAGAACTGGGCGTCGCACAGATCACATACTATAATAATCACCGGGCTGAAGTAAACAAGGCCGGTCTCTTTGTCCAGATTTTCTATGAGACATCAGATACGTGTTGACAGGTCCTCAGTGCAGCTCCTGCTTTATGTCCAACCATGTTTTGACTGTTCTAACCTCCACAGACATAAACAGCAGGATTAGGATTCACACAACACTGGTGCAGCAAACAGGAAGTGGGAGCGTGACACCTCAGTGAAATGGGTTGTGCAACAAGTGGCAGCATTAAGTAAGTATATGTGGTAATAACATAGGCCTGTCACAATCCTTTTTTGTAGTTCATTCATATTTGCGCACAGGGTCAAACAATTAACATCTGCGACTAATATGTATTAACTAGCTGCATGTTTCCTTTAAAAGTGCATTGTGTAACTTTTTTGTAGAGGGTCCATCGCATGCTTGTTTCTATGGATACATCACTGCGCTGCCTGGAATGTTCCACAGTATGACATTAAACAGCTCTACTTTACATTTATTCAATTACAGGTGGTTTTATAGCTCAAAAATGCCTAGGAAAAAAAAGGCATTCTGACTGAGTGCGATTGCCTCTCCACGGGTCTGACCTGTAACTTGGTCTGGTTTGTTCTCTGTGAAGATGGAAATGTTTAATGATATACTGTGAAACATTCCAGACAAAGCAATAACATCTCCATGCATTTCTCCATCCAACCAGAAAAGTTACAAAATGCACCTTTAACTATCTATTTATCGCAACTCCATTTAAAAAGGAAAAGTTAAAATAATACTAATAATCCTGCTTTAGGGTTATTGTGTCAGTGGTATAAAGTAGGTCCAATGTTATCGTTTATAATGGTATTTTTTATAATTATATATATTGTATTTGAACATTTGTTGTTGTGACAGGTCTATAATAAGAGAAGTATGAAAATGTGGCAATTATAGTGAATTACATGTTGGTAACACTAAAGACCTTTCGGCTTTCTGCTTTCTATTCCTGTCCATATTCCGTACTGTACATCACTACAGACTAGTCATTTTACTAAAACACATCTACAGGTTTTACTAAGATTTTGTTCAAACTTTCACACTTTTTTTCCCAGTTTGCCATTTTTCACTTCCTGATTGGAAATTATGACACCACGCTAGGCTAGGGAATTCCTCAAATGTAACCTAGCAACCAAGCAGTACACTAAGCCAAAACTCCACACAGAAATTATGATTTGACAAATAAAAATATAAGAAAGCGCCTTTATTTTGTTGAAATAATTAAGTTTCTTATGTGTAACTTCTGCGTAACTTTGATAGTATTCTCCCTAGTAAGACATCATCATCAGTATGTTTAGAACTATCTACTTTCTGTCATTTTTTTTATATATATTCCTCATCTTTTCTTCCCAAACTGCTTCTTGATTGGTATAAAACTATAATTTATATTTACAACAGGCATTATCAGACCCCTTTAAGTAAAAATGAAAGAATGTTATGAAGAAAATCTGTCATCCACCCTTTAACACCATAAACTTATAATTTTCAGTTCTCAGACTGTAGCCTGTCTTACCTCGCAGTGGTCTCTGTAAAGCTTTTGCAGTTTCTTGATATCACTCATGTTGATGCGCTCTGGGAGGGGCTGAGAGTCCAGGTCAGGAGAAGGAAACGGAGGCAACGTGTGAGAAGTGTCTGTGCGAAAGGGAGAGAGACGACAGCTGTCAGTCAAAGCGCCGGACAGAAAATACAAACACAAACACTGATCTGTGCATGGGCTCTGCAAGTATGTAAAGGGTGACTATGTAAAAGGTACCAATAGATTAAATAAAGTCAAAGAGTAGCAGTGTTTCCTATTAATACAAGAGACTATGGTGGTGTATTTTTAGAACTTTATATTTCATTTGTAATGCTTTTTGATGAGGGCAATAAGTGACATTTAAGTATACACCTCCTATATATGAAAATACAAACTTTCTTATATATGTATATCCAAACAAACACCAAAAAAATCTAAATTCTGCATTTTATTGATACTATAAATTTTGTTTAAAGGAACAATATGTAACTTTCTGGAAGTGACAAATCACCGGCGAGATACTATGAACATGGGAAGTTAAATAATTCAGAAAATTCTCCATGGAGATAAATACATTTGAGGACATACTGTAATTAAAGGCAAAGGAACAACATTTCCATACAAACAAGCAGGAAGAGGCCCTCCTCCAGGTCAAATAAGAGTCAAGTTTGTGGAGATACAAGTGTTTCAATGCAATAAACAAGAAAAAAAAAAAACATGCTTATATTTTAGTGTATTTTTGTCCATTTTGTCCATGTAGTTAATAGAGGAAACTATGGTGGCCCCCCCATAGTCGAAAAACTAGCAGGACAAAATAAATTGTTAAACACATGATACTTTATGCTTGAAGTGTTACCATAAACATATAGAAGTCACCATTTTTCATCTATAATCAGCGCTTTTTTGTTCAGTGGAAGCAACTGATGGTTTTCAGATTCAAGAATGTGATGATGTCATAGTCCCAGATGTGGGGCAAGAGACAGTTTTTCCTTTTGATTACACTACACTCTGTGATGAAATATCCAAGCGTTAAATTCACAGATGTTGAGCCTGATACTTTCAATTATTGACTAAACCACAGAACTCACTGTATTACAACATAATTTTGCATTTTCATTTATTTATTTTAGCTGTCCCCATCTGTATTAATGAGTGTTGTGATGTCATCTAAAATCCAGCAATAAGTGACATTTATACACCAGAATATTGTATTTAAAAAATGGTTCAAATATAGAGCGCTTATGCCACCAGAGTCTTAGTATAAACCTGCGGGAAACACTGCGCTGTGACTTTAAATCCTTTTCATTTGAACCTGTACAGTGCATGTGTATGTGACAGTAGCAGTGTGTGTGTTCTTACCGATGTACTGCTGGTGATGCTGGCTCTGCGCGGCCACAGACTGCTCTGGAGTGCTGCTGCAGTGCTGTGAGCTCCCACACAGACTGTCAGACATCCCATCCACCTTCTGCAGAGGCTTGAATCTAACACACGCAACAGGGGCCCAGGGAGCAGGGTGAGCATGGGGGCTTAAGCATTCAAACACTAGCACTGTAGAGAATATAGCTATGGTCCTGGATCAAAATGAATTACTGTTTTAATCACAGTTTTAACACACATCTATTTATTATATAGCAGCTACTACATTTGACAAGAATAACTTACACATTGCGTTATTTCTAATCTGTGTTATGATGTTGTTTCCTCATCACAAACATATCTGGACTTGTGTTATGTTTAATTCACAGAAACACAAACACGCAAACTCTGCATATTTAAGTTGAGTTATTCTCTCAGAAAACACTCCTTGTGAAGTCATGTGGTAATTCAGAATGTGCTCTACTATGTTTTTAAACTCCATACTCCTTCACTAGAATCATTTGGATCAGATCACTCAAAAGTGTGTGAATGAAACAAAACATAACACCGGGTATGCTTTTGATGAAGTAACAGGCTCCCAATAAACAAGAAACTAAAACCTTGTGAATAGTTTTAAGAGGATGACTTGGAGTAAACTGGTCATATAAAATTTTGGGCAGTCACCATAACAATGTCCTATTCAAAACAAAATATCCTATCTTGTGAAAAGTAAAAAGTTCTTCAAATTTTGCCCATAAGTTCGCTAAAACTCATAGATTTAATAGTATGACTGGAACAGGGCAAACTGAAAAATTTGGACTATTGCCATAGCAATTAACAAATCATATCACATTATATCTTCTGAATGGGCTAAAAACACCTTAAATGGTCCATCAGAACAGGAAAAACGTTGTGTGACCTCTGACCTCTGTTTCTGGTGGACAGGTTGCTGCCTCATTGCCATGTACTGAGTGTCCTCCTGCAGACGATTAAGCGGAGAATCTGGCTTCACCCGGATCCCGTAGTAGTGATACTTGGAGTTTCCTCTGGTGGATTCACAACAAAAAAAAAAGCCAGTGAAGAGGGAGAAGGAGACATCTTGCCTTCAGTGTAATCACTATCATTACAGCCTTCCATCCACAGCCGTGCCATGCTCACGAGCTTCATCATACTCTTCACAGCTGTAATGGTTCTGTGATTACTATTATCATATACTGGGCATTGTTGTGCATACCTGGTGCCCAGTCAGCGAGTTCATAGCAATTAGCAAATCAGATCTGAATATCCTAACGTCTGAATCATGAAAAAGTGCTCAAAATGTCGCCTGTAAAAATGAAGCTAAAACATATTAATAGTTTTATGTAGGGCCCAACCGACACAGATTTTTTTTTTGCATCTGATATCAGACCAACAAAAGGTGCTTTGGAGGTGCCGATAGCCAATATAACAGTCAATATATTTAGTGATGTAAAATTCACTGTAAATCTTCAACTGATTCTAAAACTTTGATTTTACTGTATTGGATTTCATTTGGGTTTGTTTAAGCAGCATTTACTGTTATTTTGTCTCTTTACAGTCATATTTAAAGACAGTAGGTCGACCTAATGGCATTTTAGCGTCACATTTTAGCATGACATTCCAGCCAGTAAACAAAGTCAAAACTACAGCTATTAGCCTTTAGCTGTAAATGCGTGCGAATAGCGGTAATTAATTATATGCTTAAATGCCAATATCACAATTCTATTTACAACTCATTTACATATCTGTGCAGGTCCAGTAACATGTATAGTCATGTTACAGTGGCCAGTGTAAGAAAACAGGCTGTTTATGTGTGGGAGCTTACAGCGGCTATGCACTAGCCAATGAGAAAGAACCATAAGTAGCTCCAAAACCGACACATTTGCGACACTTACCGCACACACAGGCACCTCTCAGTCTTCACAAATACGTGTCCTTTCAATCCTGACTCAAAACGATTGTCCATAAAAATAATATAATCCACTTTGATAAAAACAGGCAGAAGTTTTGGGGGGTTTTTTTTTGCTGGCCTGTCTGATCAAAGCTATAAATACAAGTAAACTTCACCACAGTTTTCACTTGTATTTATAGTTTTGATCAGACACAAGAGTGTTTCAGTGCTGTCTCAGAGGATGCTGAGAGCGCACAGGTATAAACAAGCGCACGTGAGTCACGTGACTCTGGGGGTGCGTTCAGGGGCAGTACGCGTTACTAACAGACAAATTACTCACACATAAATATTGATGCAGTGCCATATATTAGCACATTTACCACTCTGTAAATTGGATTAAATTGACGGAATATAGAGTCTAAGCTTTATAAAGAGGTATAACATGCCCATGGACTCCTGGCCTTAATGGAGAGAAATTTAGGCCGAGGCCCATATATTGGCCAACCAATATATCGATCGGGCCCTAGTTTTAAGAACTGAGTAAACAGATCATATCTAAACTGAGTTACTGAACTGTAGTCATACATGACTTTTTGATGCCAAATTGGGATCGTTGTCATAACAATTACCATTTCCAGGCAAAATACACTGTGTTTGAATAGTCAGTCCTCAAAATGTCACCTATAAACAGGAAGTTTTAAAGGTTTTGTACCTGATTTTTTCATGTATTTGAGCAAAATATTGTCTTGTTCCAATACAGATATATTGTATACAGAGTTTTTGGGGTCATATATGTCCGCAAGGAATATATAAAGAATTTTATTGTCTGATAATCGGGAAGTGTGCATTAGCCTGCTAGTTGCCGTTAGCAATAACTTTCTGAGAGTTGTGAAAAGTGTTTATAAACTCAATAATAAGGATGCTCCAAAGGCATAAGGTAAGTGAGGAATCATTCTGGACCACTACAAAAAGTTTTAAATTAACAAAAAAATTTACTTTTGCATGTTTTAAGTCAAATTCCGGTACAGTGCCTTTAAAAGTCTCACTGATCATAGCTCCCTGCTGAGTTACTGACTGAACTGTATTGGGACCATAGTCTTCACATCATACTTATCACACTTATAATATCAGTGTGATTACTGTTATCACACATTGGGCATTGTTGTGCGTACCTGGTGCCCAATCTGCGCGTTCGGAGCCCCATGAATACGGAACGGATGAGTTTCCCAAAGGACGCGGCGTTGACAGGGTCCAGCTTCTGCTCCTGACAGTGACGGAGGTAATGGTTGTACAGGGAGCAGCGAGGCAGGCTCACCCCCTCCGCCGTCTCATAGTTGTCCAAAAGCCACTGCAGCTAAAATACACAAATATACACAAATATACAGGCCCAGTGACCTCCAAGAAGCATTTTGTAAAATCAAACTATAACACAACTTTAAAACACTTACTAATTGGCATTCATATTCTATTTTAGATTGAAGTATCAAGATTAGCTAGTACTGGTGGGGATGGTAACTATCTGTTTAATGGTATCCAAACTGTGCACTGGGCATCATGCATTTTGAATGAATGATCAGTCCTTACAGCGTCTCTCTCTGACAAATACAATGATCTTTCTTCTGGGTTTGCACTAAAATGCTTTATAATGAAAAGCAGAAATTGGCGCACAGTGGTCTGATGCTGTCACAAAGTGCTCCTTTTCCATTACATTTTATGGGCCAAAAATACATTAAGAGTTAAAATAAAAGTGGGGTATCTTAGCTTTGAGTGCACACTTGAAAAATTATGAATATAGTTAAAACTGATTCTAATATAATAACAAAAGTATAAACCCTATGTCAGCAATGCAAAAACTACATAAGTGTCCAAGTGTCTAATTCACCAGACAATGAAGATACCTTTTAAGAATTGAATTTGAATAGTTTTATTATTTTAACTATAAGGGACCCAAGAACTCATGTCATGTTAAGCCAAATGTCAATGCAATAATATGACATCAAGATTTGAAAGAAAATCTTGAAAATCAATTTGAATTTAAGCCAGTTCCATGCATTCTCAAAGTAAACAAATATAGAAAAACATAATTTGCAAATGCAAGTCCTGATCAATGAGGGAAATGGACAGCAGTGGGGAATAAAGGAAGCCATCAGTAGGTAGTGTGTTCTACTTTGGACAATGTAAGTAAACACACTGCCAAAGCACCAGATTACATGGGAACTTACATGGCTGTTGAGCAGGCTGCTTTTGTGACTTGCAATTCCTTCAGACTTTTGGAGGTTTTCAATCGCCATTTCAAGCTATAGTAAGGATGAGCATGCAAAAAGAGAGAACAGAGGAGAGACAGAGAGACAGGGGTAAGCAAAAGATAAACGACAGAAATCAAATCACAAAAAGATACAGGAAACAGGACTGTTAGCAAGCAGCCAGATCTCTGCATTTCCATTCAAATCAGTCAGTGTTGTAGCCAAATGCATTATTGGCTGACAATAGCATGCAAATCAAGGGGTTCATAGGGTTAAGCTCTTGGTGAAGGCGGTCAGACACACTAATGTATGCAAATTGGAACCCCAAATAAGGGCAGGGGTAATGTCAAACTAAGGGCAACAGGTCAACAGTGCCTGAGACAGGGTTTGTGTACAAAACAAGATACTGAGTCAGTGAATAGAATGGGTGCATTGTATTGGAGAAAAGGTGGAACATGTACTGAACATTTTTACTCAAGGAAAAGTTGCTGCCAAAATTGGACTGCTAAAGTGAAAATTAAACATGAAAAGTATTACTCATAGTACTGGTTATTTTTAACACAATTTTAGAAGCATTTAGATCACTATTTAATCCTTGATTAAACTGTGTAAAATTTAATTGAATTTAATTGTATTTGTGCTATGGCCAGTCAGAGCAGGTTATGCAGTGTCATAATGTGTAGGTAGAAAAAAGCAGAAACGGTGGTGAGATTGCGGTGGATTTGGCCAATTGGGATTTAGTCACTGATTTTAAATGTAACTAATTACAAAACAAGTTAATCAATTAATTGCAACTAATCAATTATTGCAATAATTGTCAACTATTCCAGTAATTGGATAATCATTAACTGGGTCACAGGCTCCAAAACATGTCATGAGCTGAGGGAAGAGGTTTCAGAAAGATCAGGAATCACATACAAACAACACAGGAACTATGTATATTTAGTGTTTTTCATGATTGAATTGTTTGTTGCAGCCTTACAAAAATATAATTACCCTCAAATCTACTCTTACAGTATTTAAAAGTATTTATAATTTATTACTTTCCGTTCGTGAGACTATTCAATACACAATTTGGAAAAACAATCTACAGATAATGAAGAAACCAGGTTCTTTGGCGTGAATTACAAAAAAACGTCAAAAACTGAATCCAAACTGAAGACATGGGAGCAGAGGGGAGAGAGGCAGGCCTTGGTCCCAGCCTTCAGCAGACTCCTGAAGCTGTGGCCAAATGGTAATGAGCTCCGGGGGTTTCTTTGTTTCACTGGGAGCTCAAGTGCCTGTGAAAACCTCCCAAACAAGACACATCTGAATTATTTAAGCTGTGTCCTGGTTCTACGGCCGCTAGCCCCACTCCTACATCACTACTGTGGTGTAAACTGGTCTAAGGCACTTTTTTTTGGAAGGTTTTAAGTTATATAAGGCTGAGTTTTCTAATTTTGTGATAATTTTTGTTCTGAGTCCATCCAAAAGGTTTCAGGCTGAATGATTTGCACTGTTGCCATAGTTACTAACAATTAAAACTTCACTATGTAACTTTGGACAGGGAGAGTCTGCCTTGTGCTTGTCTCCATAAATATGTTATGGCTTTTCCTGGAATGGTTCACACAATGGCATTAAAGTTAACTCTCTCTATGGAGACAAGCAGCTGTGGTATAATAGGCAAGTTACAAGTCAGATCTATGGAGACATGACCCTTCACACAGTAAGAATGCATGAAAGTAAAAACTGAAGATAGAAATTTTAATGCGAAATACATGTAGAATTCAAAGCAATAACATCTCCTTGGAGACAAGCCGGAAAAGTTACATAGTGCACCAAAATATTATATCTTTTGAATGGTCAGAGGTCCTCAAAATGGCGACTACTGTATAAACAGGAAGCTGAAATCCATGCATAAATTAAAGATTTGGTTAGATTTGAACAAATATGGTCAAATCTGTCAGGATATTGCCTATTGATTGCACCTGAATTTCCACTAATGGGCACATTTTAATTTACTTAAATTTTTCTTGACTTAGAACAAGTCATAGGTTTCATGTATAACTTTCAGGTTGTAAATCCCTCTTTTTAAGCTCCGGTTTGACTAATGAAGGCAGCAGCAGCATGTGGTAATGTTGATGAGATTAGCCCCGCTGTGGGTGGTTCAGCAAAGCAACTTTTCACCTTTTGGACACAGCTAAATTGGTCACTACACAGATTAAAGGAGCAATTAAGTTTGACTTACGCTGACTGCTTTTGGAGGTGATACCCACTCACACAATGAATTAAAGTTATAAATCAGATAAGCTTTATGATATGGCTACATAAATCATATTAGATCCATTTCACACTGGGGGAATTGAAGTAGCCGTTAATAAAATCTATATATTTTAATTTCTAGTCAAATATTTCCAGATTATCACATTATTATAGCTGAAAACCACGAATGGGTAATGTCAGGTGGAGCGCAAGAGTCAGTTTTCTCTATTGATTACATTAAACTTTTATAAAAAATGTCAAAAAGAAAAACTGACCAATGTTGAACCTGATTATTTCTATGTGTGAAGAGGCAATTGAAGCTAAATTAAAGGGACAGTCCGGAATTTTGGACATCGGACCTCATTTCCTAGTTAGCCAAAGTGTTGGAGATGTGTGGAGACACTTTTTAAAATATTCCATTCACTTCTTGTATTTGCAGAGGTCGCTGGTGCTAGGCTAGTGCATGTCAATGGCCATAGTTAGCCTGCCACTAAAAACAGTCTTCCCCACTCCACAAAGCACTCAAGGCAAATTTTTTTATAACGCCAGACTGTCGAGTGTAAATGTCTCTGATAAAAGAATAATTTTAGAAGTAAAACCTGCATTTGAAGGATTTATGTTTGAGCAGCAGCAGTGAGTTGCACTTCCTGATAGAAAGCTTGGCAGCGGCGGACTGATATCACCTCGCACCTATCTTACTGGCAAAGTAAAATTCCGCTGCTGCTGAGAAAATAGCCCCTCAACATGTGACGATTCATGCGATACAAGATTAGTTTCATTTCAAACATTATTCTATCAACACAGACATTTATCTCAACAGTCTGGTGTAATAATAGTGCTTTGTGGAGTGGGTAAGACTGTTTTTAGTGGCAGGCTAACTATGGCCATTGACATGCACTAGCCTAGCACCAGCAACCTCTGCAAATACAAGGAATGGATGGAATATTTAAAAAGTGTCTCCACGTGTCTCCAACACTCTGGCTCACTAGGAAATTAAGTCCAAAATGTCCAAAATACCGGAATGTCCCTTTAAAACTAAATTTACCTTATTAGCCACAGTGATTTTACAAAACCCCATCTCCAATAAAAATGATGTAGGCCCAGAGATTGTGAAAGAAGCTCAAACCCAACAATATAAAAAGATATGTGCCCACTGTTCTAGTACTGAGTACAGAAGTCACTACTAACTTGAATATTTATGGTTTTCAGCTTCCTTTTATGTGCAATATTTTGAGGAGCTTTTTAGTTTTCGTTTTAAACCATTAATCGCTATGGCAATGGCCTTAATTTTTCATCATTTTGAACTCCATGGATAGCTTTTAATTTAATGCTATTAGAAACATGTCTAACTAATAGGGCTGTCAAAAGTGCCAAAAATCTGATACTTGCTAAAACTAGTATTGAAACTAGATACTCATTTGATACAAAAAAAATTAACATTTACAGGACAAAAATGAACATTTCCTGAATAGTTTAGAATGATCTTGAGCTGTATCAGAACGCCCATGGACCACTATGGAACCTACCTGGACCACAGAGGAAGACCACATAGTAATATAAAAGAAAGTACTATGTTTAATGTTGAAAATTAGATTCTATTGTCTATATACATTAGTGTTTTTGTTTTGTTTATTATTATTATTATTATCATTATCATTGTGGTGTTGGAATCAGTATTGAGTAACTAAACAGCATTTTTCTGTTGCTTTTTGTCTCTCTTTTCTCACCATGGCCGAGGAGGAGCGAGAGGAGTGGGACAGGTGGTTGCGGCCGCCCTCCATGCCCCCGTGGATCAGGTAGGTGCTGCCGCTGGAGATGATGTGGCTGCTGCCCACATCCATGGCGATGCCCACCATGCCGTGAGAGGGCACCCCACCCGCGCCCGAGGACGACACCACCGTGGTCACGTGGGCTCCACCCGCCTGAGTGTCAAAGTACGGGCCGGTACTCTGGCCATACAGCTGTGAGTCAGGGTTGTAGGAGTAGGCTGTGCGGCTGGACGTAATAAAGTACATAGATTAATGAATTGTGAAAAAAACAAATAATCTTTTTGAACGTGATCAAACTAAAACCATTTGACAGGTTAGACTTGGTACTCATTTGAGATAAACTGATGTAATAAGACTGGTCGTATTTGGTCCAGAAAGTCTCAGAATGTTTAAACTGTTATTTACACAAAGTCTGTCATTTCCTCAGAGTCAAATCACAGCTACATAACACCTTTGGATCAGTTTTGTCTTATTTTATTTTTGTTTAAAGGAAATAAAAGCTGTTTTCAATCTCTGCATTGATATTAGTGGATATTGGGTATCGACAGAAGCTACAGTATCAAAATTGGGATTGGTGCATCCCTATTTAAGATTATACTAATGATCTTACCTTTTTTTTTTTTTTTTTTTTTAATTTGGTTTATAATTTTACTTCCTCATTGGAAACAGGCAACAGATACAACATGATAACTCTATAACTGTTACCTAGCAACCAAATAGGTCCAAATAGCACACATAATAGCACAAATAGTTATGATTGGACTAATAAAAATAAATAATAACATCTTTATATTGTTAAAACAGTCTGAAAAATGCCTTCCTTGCGTGCAAACTGTACCTGCATTGTAGATGGAATGCAATAAACTCAACACAACTTCCTGTATTTAGCATATTTCTTATGAAGATAAATACCACCATTACCACACACCAAACCAAGTAATAATTAGAAGAACCTGTTAAATGCACTCAAATAATAATAATAAAATACAGACGGTGGCCTTACATTGTCCCATTGGTGTAAACAGACTCTCCACCTTCTCCCACATACTGAGATGGGTACACATGCTGCACTTGTTGAACCTACAGAAACACACACAACATGAGAAACAAAAAGTACCACTGTGCTCTTTATTACTGTTTTTATAGCACTGAAATGGACAGCACTATTTGGTTCCTCATAGGTAGATATTTTTAGATATAGTTGAAAGTGGAAAAAGGAATTTATAAGATTTTAGAAGAAGACAAAAAGTGCATTCACTTATTATCATTGTTTCATGATGATAATAAGTTTAGACCATGGCAGCCTTTAGATTTAAATACTGATTTATAAAGTAATTGATACTTTGCAGTGTCATAATGCTGGGGTTGTTTTACATGCATCTCTATCAGTGACACAATGCACACATTAGCAAACACTGTCAGTTTAAACAGCACATTTCAGGAGTCTATGATCAATATGAGCATTCATGGTTTTTAGTGTCTGATTTTCAACAAAAAGGTGAAAGCGACTCACTGAAAAACTGTTGGCTAATGCTAGCTCGTGTGTGACTAATTTTATATGTGAGAGACTTGTTTAACAGCACACATCGGCTCACCTGTTTCAGTTCCAGCTATATCTGTTTTTTGGGTTAGATTGTGTTCAAATGAAGCTCAAATTAGAGTCTAATAAATCCTCAGACAAAGCAGTGCCTAAAGTTAGTTTCACACTCCCAGGGAATGTTGATGACATCAGCTGCAAAGTATCCGTAGACAAAATATGACATTTCATAGTTGAACTTGTTTGATTTATGATCATTAACATGTATTTCAGCAGGCACAGTTGGCGCAGAATATTCGACAATGACTGAACAACAGAGACATATGTGGGATTTGGTTCAAGCATGTCAGACATTCACATGACTTGATGAGTTTAAAATAGACAGAAACAGAAAACACAAAGTAATTAGACTTGCATCATATTAATACTTGGTTGTTGTTGATGTGTGGAGGCAGCAGCCAGGCTCAGCCAGAGAAAGGATCTGGTGTTACAGTCACAGAGGGAGCAGCAGAGGTATACATGTATACATGTATACTGTATTCTGAGGAGATTGGCTTCATGCAGAGCTCATGCTGGAAGGTTGAACTGATGTTTTGTAACTTCAAGTCAGTGAAATGAGCCTCTAAAGCATCTCATAGTTCAGTCTGACTAAAATGTCCCTGTGTTGGTCTTTGAATGTTCTGTCTGTACTGCTGGGTTTCAGATGCACAACACAAAATTCTGTACACCACTAATATTTTATACAGATGGGGGCAGCTAAAAGTATTATTTTTTTGTTGTAATATAGTAAGTTTGTGGCTTTAGTCACTTATAGAAATGATCCAGTTTTTCCAACATTTTGTAAATTTACCTTTGGAATATTTCAAAGCAAAGTGCAAGGAAATAATGAAATAAACAGGAAAAGCTGGCTAATTGCCCCCCATCTGGGAGTATGACAGCATCACATTCTCAAATCTGAAAACCACCTATTTAAAGTCCCTGTGTGGTGGTCTTTGACAGTTCTGCCTGTACATTGTCCCTGTGTGGTGGTCTTTGACAGTTCTGCCTGTACATTGTCCCTGTGTGGAGGTCTTTGACAGCACTGCCTGAGTACAGCTCTGTACCTGCTGTGGAGCTCTGCTGTGCTGCTGTGCTCCTCCCTTCTGAGCTGAGCCTGTGGCTTGAACCAGCACCCTCTGTTTGGATATAAGACATAGGTCCATTACATAGGTCTGCACATAGAACCACACACACTGTTTGGATAGAAGTCCATTACATAGGTCTGAACATACAACCACACACATCATGGTAAAACACTGTGTCAACACAACTGGGACATCTGCATACATCCTTTTCAACACCTGTTTGAGCAAGGGAAGTCAAAGCTGCCTGCCTTAAAGGACACCGATTTTTTCAAAATTGACTTTTTTGAGCTTTCAACCATGTTATAACATTGTGCAGTGAAGGTGTATTTAGTTTTATTCCCGCTGTTTTCAGTAATCCTCTGTGAAAAGTCCTTTCCCTCTGTGCCTCCACTTCAAACCAAATATGTGGTTTGAAATACCCCAGAATTGTTATGTCACAGGTAGAAGATTTTAGATCCATAAGACAAGCTCATTTCTGCTTTTTATTTCTGCTTTCAAATCTCGTTTATTACGGCTGCGTGCATGAATATGTTTGGGCATGTTCCTCATTAGCTATAAAAGCAATAATGTTTCCCCATAGTAGTTCCCCCTGCTGCCAGTAGATGGGCCCTACACCAGATCCCTGTATGGGGGAGGATATGTGCCCGTAACATGTTATTTCATTTTAGGTGAGGTCAAAATAATAATAATAATAATAATAATAATAATACATACATTTTAAATAGCACTTTTCACAGTAACCCAATGATGCTTCATAATAGTTTAACACAACAAAAGGACAGAGTACACACTATCAGATGGCTGAGTCCTCTATAATCTCATTATAATTGAAAGTGCTTTCCATCAGAGCAGTGGTGCTGGTTCTTCTGAGAGCTCGTACCTGCTGTGAGGCCGGCACAGGCTGAACGACCGGAGCCTGAGCCGAGGATGACGTCCGCAGGGTCGCCACGCTGCTCGCCGAATCTGACCCCCCTTCAGAGCTCTGCATCCTGCTGTGAGGAGGGAAAGAGAGGGAGTGGAGAGGGAGAAGAGAGAGGAGAAGAGAGGGAGTAGAGGAGGGGGAGAGGGAAAAGGACGGGAGGAAGAGATGGAGAGGAGATAAAACATGTCAGTGTTAGAATACAATGACTTTGATTTGATTTGACTGCTTTTACTGCTTTAGTCTGGCAAGATCAAATTGAGTATTTATTCTTTTTTAATATGGTTCTATGCTTTCTGTACAGCACTAAAGCACAAATCATTGTTCATAAACTATTAGTTCATTATGAATTAAGTCTTCATTCATGCTTTATTAAGGCTAATTAAGTGTGTAGTTATTATTAAGTGATGCTCAAGCATTTTTTTTTTTTCTTTGCTGTATAAGTAACTTTAATTAGGGATTTTATGGTCTATGGCAAATGGCTAGTCGCTGTAACCACTGAGTTTCAACAATTAGAATATTTTAGGGCTTTTGTTCATTGCTCAAACAAACCAAACTTAAGCCTTAATTGTGTGTTTGCATTTTGTAAACAGAAATCCATTTGAAACATGCAGTATGTAACTTTTCTTGTCAAGGGTCTGTCATCTCAACCACAATTTTTGCTTAATTTGGTGGAATAAGACCTGATGTTAATATAAATCATAGTTTTACAACAATAAAGAAACAATTTGCCAAGTTCAAAAGTTGAAAAAATATGTTGAAAATTACAGAAAGTGGAGGATTCTTAAATACATCACACTATGTAGAATTCTATTCAAACACATTTTTTTTCTGATACTTTAAACATGAATTCAACAAAATAATGATGTTTTCCTATATTTGTATTTGTTAGATAATAATCTTGGTATACATTAAAGGAGTTTTACTAGGTAGCAGTTATAGAATTGTTGTCACGATTTCTAACCAGAAAGTACATTTTTAAATAAAAAAAAAAAGCCAAATGAGAAAATGAATGAGTTTGAATGTTTTTGCAAAAATCTTAAAAGGTGCATTGTGTAACTTTTCTGGTGGAGTGCCTGTCAAATTTCTACAATTTCTTTATCTAGAATATTTCAGAGTATGGTGTTAAACCTTGGTGTTGCGTCTTCACTTTTTATTCCGCTTTTAGACAAGCGTTTTCAGGAGGAAATCTTCGTGCACATGGTGACGCAAAAGTGTGTGGAATTCAATTGGAATTCTAGGTGGTGACGCTAAATGTTGATGTATGTGACGTAAACGCGTATGTGACTTGAGCAGATCTGACCAGAGTTTTGCATCTTACAACAGAGAGTATTCAACTTTTCCACTCGGGAGGGTGGTTTCAGATTTTTGCGTTTTAAGCCCCAAAACTGCAACAAGAAAGGCACTTTTGATAAAATATTTTGTTGTTTTTACCCACAAAATTTCTTGTGTAAACAGGCCCTTAACCAGACCGAGTTACAGCTCAGATCCGTGGAGAGGTGACCCCTGTCAGAATACTTGTTTTTCTAGGTGTTTTTGAGCTATAAAACCACCAGTAATTGAATAAATGTAAGTTAGAGCAGTTTAATGTCATACTGAGGAAAATTCCAGGCAGAGCAAAGACATATGCGTTAAAAAAAGCAGGTGGCGGACCTACAACCAAAAAGTTACACAGTGCACCTTTGTGAGGAGTCTGACCTGTCATAGGGACTTTAAACTTGTATATCTCGATGGAGACAAGCAGAAAACATCCCCAGAAAGTTATTGTGTGTGCGCCTATAGGAGTGATAGTACAGCCTTGTGCTTGTGCTATTTGTGAGACCAGTGATCACAGATTTGGTAAATAGTACTCTCCAGGAACAGTCTTGACTGCAAAAGAACCTGGAATGACCTTTTGAATGCAATCCCTAGATCTAAATATATTGTGGAAAAAAGAACTGAAAATCTGAACTGACAAATTAGTTTAGCGTTTCCATAGCAACTCAGCCGTAGCACGAAAACATTTGGCTAACCTCATGCGTTACTCATATTTTCCATTTTTCCAAAACATCAAAGTTACGATAATATAAAAAAAAAACCTGAATCATGATTGCGCTGACAGGACTAGGAACGCCAGTGGAAAAGTTGGACTAGAGTTTTGGGAGTTGAGTTACCAAAAGCAGGGCTCCTCTCTCTCTCTCTCTCCCTCTCCACTGGGTGACAATGTGCACAGCATAGCAAAGGGGGCTAAAAATGGAGACGCACAAAGGGTCTCTTTTCAAAGGCACAGAGCAAAGGAGGGAGGCCTGGAGAATGGATGTGGAAGGGGGTCGAGTATAGCAGTACCATTTGGGGAAAATATCTAATTGTGAAGTTTCTGTCAAGGATTTGGATCAGATTGTAGTTCTGATAGTTTTTAACTCATCTAAACTACAGGGGGAGCAGAATTAGGATATTTAGTTGTATGTGGAGGAAATAATGATATTAACTGTGATTAACTGACCAACAGCTGTGATTAGATTGTAGTTTGGATAGTAGTTTTCATAGTTTTGATCTTATGTAACATTAAGGGAGAATATTTTGTCGTTTGTGGAGGAAATAATGGTTTTACCTGTGGTTTTTCTAACAAGGATTGTGATTAGATTGTAGTTTTGACAATAGGATTCTGTTCAAAGTTCATATTTAAAACATATCCAATAGAAAAATCACATTTCAGAACATGTTTGTCTCATTTAAACTACAGGATTAGAATAAGAGGATGTTTTGTGGAGGAAATAATGGTATTAACTGTGATTAACTGAACAACAGCTGCGATTAGATTGTAGTTTGGATAGTAGTTTTCATAGTTTTGATCTCATCTAAACTGCATAATAAGCATTATAAGGGAGGATATTTTGTTGTTTTTGGAGGAAACAAAGGTTTTAACTGTGATTTTTCTAACAAGGATCATGATTAGGTTGTATTTTGATAAAAGGATTCAGTTCAAAGTTTACATTTTAAAAACACATCCAATACAAAATCATATTTCATGGTACTAACAAGGATTGGGATTAGATTGTAGTTTTCATAGTAGTTTTGATAATAGGATTCTGTACAAATTTCTGTTCACATTTTAAAAACATATCCAACACAAAAATCTTATTTCGGAATGTGTGTACTCAACTAAACTACAGGGTTAGCAGATTAAGGGAGGATATTTTGAAGTTAGTGAAGAAAATAATGGTACTATAAGTGTAATTTGTCTAACAAGGGCTGCGATTAGATTGTAGTTTTGATAGTTTTGACAAAAGGATTGTGTTCAAAGTTCATATTTAAAACGCATCCAATAGAAAAATCACATTTCAGAACATGTTTGTGTCATTTAAACTACAGGGTTAGCAGAATAAAAGGATGTTTTGTTTTTTGTGGAGGAAATAATGGCACTATAAGTAGGGCTGGGTGTCATTAAGAAGTTGCCGATACTACACATATCTTGATACATAGGCCACGATACGATACATATCTCAATACAGTGCACTTTCAGTTCAGTACAATACATTTCAAATCGATTCGACACATTTCAATAAAAAATAATGGCTATATCATGGCTGTGATACTAAAGTTCATATGAAACACATTTTAAAACATTTTAATCCTCAAAACAGTGAATATGTCAAATTTGTTGCCTAAAAAATGAGTTTCTTTCCTCTAAATAAGCAACAAAATTCTATCACTGTAACAAAATAATTTAACAAAATAGATCATAAAATACTGTTGAAGATATATCGATACAGCAGCTCCCGATATTGATACTGTATCATCACATTAAATTATACAATATATCGATATTTTGATATTTTTGCACACCCCTAACTATAAGTGTAATTTTTCTAAGAAGCATGATTTGGGATTCATGTTTTAATATGGGATTCTGTTCAGAAGAACTGACAAAAAGACTGACATTTTAACTGACAAATTAATACAAGAAGCACATGTTTGTACAGATTTAAACTGCAGTGTTAACAGTTTTTGATGCCGAATAAGAGATATTTTTTCTGTGGAAATTATAATAGTACTTCAAAAATTGCAGCTTTTGCAATTTGCTAATTTCAAAATTCTAACATTTGACTGTGACTAATCTAAAAATCTGTAAATATAAGTTTGTAAAGAAGAAGATACAACATTGAGCAACCTGGATGGACATTAACGGGGCTCTGACTCTGACTATGAGCACATCCCCAGCCGCTCTCAGAGGACTCCAATAATCCAGCTGATATGAGGAAATTCCTTAATGCTTTGTAAACGTTTGTTGGTTGCCATGGCGAGCGGCTCCATGGTGACCACCCCCCCCACCCTCCTCTTCCTCCTCCCCCTGCCTTCCTCCCGCCCCCTCCCTGCTCTCTCTATTCTCCTGATTGTAAAGCTCTAGCAGGAACTTTGGAGTGTAAAGAGGAGGATTAGAATAGGGGACATGGGCTGGAGCTGGCACCATTGGGGGTAGGCTCGGTTTAAGAGGAGTGGTTCCTTTCAAAATAAAATACTAGTGAATTTTACATTATTATGACAACATTTTTACATTATGATTATATGAGTGTACAGCCCCTACAAGCCTGAGCAAGCAACAGATGTGAGAATGTTTGATCTACCTCACGAAAAGCACTTGGTAACACTTAATAACGAACTACACCCAAACAGACTTAATTTGTAATGACGAAATAATGACCAAGAATGATTCATCATGCTGAGGGTGTTCTAAACATTCCACCGTAATGTTATGTGTAAAAGTTACAAAGGTGATACAATGCACACACACTAGTTAAGTACACACTGTCATAAAACTTTTAAGATAGAAAACTCAAGAAAAAAACAAACAAAATGGATTTAAGAAACACATTTTCAGGAGCCTGTGATAAATACGAGCGTTCATGGTCCTGTTTAGGAGTTTGACGTTCAACAAATAGATGAGAATGGCTAATGTTAACTGGCTGGTGACTGTAAAATTATTTGAGAGAGACTTGTTTAAGAGGTGAGCTGCTATTATAATTCCAACTAAGTCAGTTCTTTCTGGTCACATTGAGTTAAAACAAAGCTCAAACAGAGCAGTGCCTACAGTCA